GCACGGGAGGGTGAGAGAATTCACCAGAGCCAGAGCGGGGAACACACAGGCATACTGACAAAGTACACTGCTGAGGGGAGCAGTGGGCACGGCAGGAGAGGTCTGTCGCGCCATGTGGAACCCTCGCCGGCGGCTAGGGATCAAACTGGCGCTGCAGAGGCTGTGGGAAGCTTCACAGCCCAGCGCTCAACCACCTGTGCCACCAGGGGAGGCCCAAGAGATGACAGTTTTGTAAAAGATTTCCATGGGTCTATGTTGAGAATACACTTTAGGAAGAAAGGTAAGAAGCAGGGAGACCTAGGTGGTGGTTGTAATAATCATGCAAGAGAGACGATGGTGACTTGAGCCAGGGTGTTTACAGTAGAAATGGTGAGAGAGGACCAGTTTTTAGATACACAGCTTTTTAGGGTGCCTCAACAGCATTTCCTGGCAGATTGGATGTAGCGTGTATGTGAGAGGGAGGAGTTAATGATAACTCCACGGTCTTTGGTCTGTGCTACAAGAAGACTGCAGTTGCCATCAATTGGGAAAGATAAAGGGAGAGAAAGAAGCAGGAAGGTAGGGAGAGAAACATCGAAAGAGTCCAAAGGGAACTGTTCTAGGTGCTGAGCATGGCATGCAACATTCTAGGCAGAGGGTTAGAATAGTGACATACTCTGAATCTGCAAAACCTAGATGAACTTGAAAAAACAGTGCCATAATTATGTGAACTTCAGTTTGGTAGCCCCTTCGATGCATCTTGTAATTTGTAAAGAAATATCTTTATCTTTCTGAGAGCCATAAAGCTCTGTGTTGCTGTACTTAGTATTTTTTCAGTCTGTCTTTAAAATTTGTGTTATATGCTATTGAAGATATCCAAAAAGAGATGAAGACTAGTTCAATAGCAGTTATTTTAAGCTGAAGTTATGAAGGCAAAAATGAAAGAGCAGCGCTACTTTAAAGGAGCAAATCTCATCTGGGTGAGCTCACTGGTGTCACACTAGCTACTCTACTTTTTTGATTCAGGGAGTGCCAGGGGTTATGGGAAATAAGATGAGGCAGAATACAAAGAGGGTCTGGGATGGCTAAAGACTGCCCAACAGCTGAGGTTTTGTTCAGTTCTTAAATTTGAAACTCCTCACAAATTAATTGTGCTAATCTTGTCATTACAACAGCTGATGAGATAGTCAGGACCATCAGCAGCCATTTTGTACAGTACCATGCTGCACTCTGGCATTGTAATCTTTATCACTCCCTGAGGACACACTCCAAGATTCTGCTTCTCGTTAGTTTATTTTCGGAGCCTAATGACACATTAATTGTCATTGAAATGTTTGACACAGTCTCCCTCAAATAGTTACCACAAAGTTGCGTATGTAGCCAAGTCATCATTAAGATTTGCAAATGGACACAGAAAGCAAATGTTAATGTTTATGCAATAGGTTAACCTTAACCTTTAGTTTTTTTTTTTTAACTGTCAAACATGCTATGTGAACTCTAATGTGATGTGTACAGAAGAATCAGTTCATGTTCCCCAGTTTGCCTTCTGAAGCTTCCTGTTGCCCGGATGTGGTACACAGCAAGACTGTCTTATAAGAAAGCTAAAAAATACAGCACTAAAATAATCCTACATTACATTGCATGAATTAATCCTTATTTTTTAACAAATATACCTGAAATTAGACTTGTAATCTTCATATAAATATGTGAATGCATATTTATTTTTTTCTGAATGTATTGATCTTTTTAAAAAAGATTGTTCTAGTAAATTTACTATTTGAGCAGTCTACTTTAAGAGAAGACTCTCTTTATCCCAAACCTATTAGTATTGTTTCCAGAAATGTTGGTACCCTAAGCGATCACTAACTACATTTCATTTAATATCTTAGTGTTTCACCCGTATGATGAACCCACATGTTAAATGCAAAGCCCCTTCTGCAGCTAAATCAGATATAAACATCTCCATGAAATAGTATATACTATAGAGGGAGATATAAAGTCTTTAATCTACAGACATTTTTCTCTTCAGTGATGTAACAAACACATATGCACAGCTGTAAAAGGTTTATAAACTTTTGTCTTTCCCACTAGATTTCCATAAACAGGGCTAGTACTCTATTTACAATGAACTAAAGATACTTCTCATTTTCATGACTAATTATATTAATAGTAATAATTAAGACATAGTGGAATATTTAAATGTAATGACCCTCTTTGGAGGTTTTGTAATTCATCTAACTTCATTAATCCAAGAATTTAAAAAAAACCTGAAGTGTAGTATTTCATTGCAATAGTAGTAATCATATCATCATAATGTACTAATTTATTTTGGCTCATTCCGATACTTTCAAACTATCAGGTTCTTTACCCTCATAACTGCCTTTAACCCATAGGATCAGTCTATTCGTTGAGATTCATGTATTCATTTATTTGCTATGAGATGAAAATTTGTTGGGGAATAAGATATTTACAGTCTTAAAGTATTTTCCCTCAAATCCTTGAGGAGATATTAGTGGGGGATTGATATAGACACTGAAGAACAGAAAAATACATGATGTCAAATCTATTTTTTGAGAAAACACTGGACCAAGACGGAGAAGTGTTTGTGTAGTGGCTATTCTAACAGGTGCTTCAAATCACTACCAGCCCTTTTGAGTCATCACATAAACCTGGAAAGGTGAAATGATTTGCTTTAGACCATAGCACACATGGCTAAGCTTCCTTTCAAGTCAAGACTTGGATTTCTTTTGAAGTCAAGTCTCACCCCAGTATTTCCTGTTGACTTAAAATAATAAAATAAATGTGATTCTCTGTCATCCTTGAATCACTTTCAGGAGTAAATTAAGCATGCAAGGTGAAGCATCCTTCTCTTTGGGAAGCAGAGTGGTTACACGCACACTTTCTGGAAAGAGGCCCTCGATGATTGCTTGGCTGCTAGATCTGAACATTGTGACATTTCCATACAATAGTCTCCTTAGGACCCAAGACTACACAGAGATTTAGACACAGATTCTTGCTTAAACTCGGATAAGTTTAAAGAATGCACTTTAATGTTTACGGAATTTCATATTGTTTCTGGTACAAAAAATATTTCTGCCCAGATAGATTGCTCAGTTCTCTCAATATGAGAGCAAAGCTTATAATTCTATTCTCCAGCACAGCTAGTACAGTATTTTGGATATAACCTTGTGCTCTTTGAAGATCTAATTGGTGGATAAAAGATGTTTAGGGCTCACATTTTCACCCCATGATAAATTGCTCACAGGTCCTTGTTTTACATGAAGTGAATTCTGGAGAGTTGAATGATTGTCTGAACTTGAAGGTTTTCATGGAGGGATTTGCTGCAGATGTTTGAGGTCCAGCCAGGTGTCAGGTCACCTGGGGCAGGGACCTGACAGTGGGTGACTTTGTAGACCTGGTACCATAGTTAACCTTTCCGGGATGCAATTTCTTCATTTCCATCAACAAAATGAGCATGGTAAGTAAGCCTGTTCTGCTGGCCTTTGCCCGCTTTGAGGTGAGGAGAGATATGAGCAGAGTAACTTAAAGCAGCAATCACTTTGAAAGTGAAACTTAAATGAGGTAAATGAAATAAATAAAAAATGAAATAGATAAAATAAATAAATAAATAATAATAAAGATGAAAATATACACCACAAGGTAATTGCTTTATTAATATACAATGCAATGTATTCATGTTCCTCTACCTCTACAGAATCTGAGCTTCCAATTATGGGGAATACTTTTTATTTTTACATAGTGGATTTCCAAAGTTGATCTTATTTAACAAGCACTTAAAGAGTGCCTTCTATGTGCCAGGCATGGGTGAAGTGGTGTTACAACCATGAACTCATTTTGTCCTGACTGCAACACTATGAGGTCAATGCTATTACTGTCCTCATTTTACAAAAAGGGAAACAGAGGTGCAGAGAAGTGAAGAAACTTGCCCCAGACCCACTATTAAAAAATGGATCTGAGATTGAAACCTTTAAAAAAAAATTCCATTATGCTCTGCTAAGATGGCTATGATGTTGATTGGCTAACAGAATAAAGATATTGTTGCTTGTCAATGTTAGAAAATCTCACTCAAAGTGATTCCTGTTTTCTCATTTTAAATATGTGGAGATTCTTCTTTTTTTAAAGATTTTATTTATTTATGCATGCAAGAGCTGGGGGGTAGCCAGAAGCGTAGGGGGTGAGAGGATTCACCAGAGACAGAGTGGGGAGCAGAACAGGCAGACTGACTGAAATACACTGCTGAGGGGCGCGGCGGCCAAGTCAGGAGAGGTCTGCTGCACCATGTGGGTAGCTCCCTGGCCAGGGATAGAACTCATGCTACAGTGGCTGCTGATAGCTTCATAGTGCTGAGACTTAACTCCTTACGCCACCAGGGAGGCCCCCTAAATACGTAGACTTTCTTAGAGTTGAAAAATAGAAGTGGAATTGGGAGTGGACAATTACCATGGAAGCCTTTGGAAATGGATCCAAGTTTTGGGGTGAGAAGTCTAGTGTTCTGCTTCTTCTGAGAACATATAAAATATTTCAGGCTAGCCTGATTTTTATCAAGCAGATGTGCTCCTGAGATATTTGAATATTTCTGCATCCCACAAATGTTTATCAGGTCATCCAAGGCTTGTATAAAAATACAAGAGAAATGTTTATGTTCTACCAAATGAATTCAGCATGTGAAGCGGAAGTTCTACCCCATGCCCTATATGCACTTTTCTTTATAGCCACAGCTGGAAAACTTTAAACAGTGAAATCTGAGGTATATACCCTGGATGTTTACAAAATTCTTCCCAAGTTGGGTCAGCTAAACCATTTTTCTTGCACAATTGAAACAATGTGGCAACACATCCTTTATTTTTATAAACTCTCCCTTGGTCTGGGGAAACACATAATTGCATTTTTAAAAAATTCACACCATGGTGGTATGATAAACATAGGATATGATGCACCCCTTTGAAGTGCATGAAGTCATCATTTTAATTAGGTGCTTTCTTTTCCTTTTTAGGTGCAGATCTAGAATGGAGACCTGGAAGATTTTTTGGAGCATCAGCTTCCTTGCAGCTAGTTTTGGATTCATCACATCACAGAGAATTGGTAGTGTGTCACATTTTCGAAACCAGAAATGCTCTTTCCAGGAACCAATTGAAAGAAAGAAAAATAGTTTTAAAAGAAAAACATTACAGGAGCCTTATCATTAGCAAAAGGGAAATGATTCTTTTAGAGAGAACTTCTTATTTGAAAGCTTTTTAAAAAAAATTTTTAATTTAGGTTCTTTTTTTTATTTAAATTTTATTTTTTCTATTCCCCATACAATTACAACCCCCTTATTTTGAGCCCAAGCCCTCCTTTCCCCGCCCCCCACCCCCCATAGAGTGTCTCTGGTTCATAATTGTTTGTAGATTTTGATATTTTCTTTCTTATAGTTATTCTTTTTCTTGGTCCCTTATTTAAGTTTTCTAGATTCCTGCTATGAGTGAGACCATCCAGTATTTTTCTTTTTTTTTCTGACTTATTTCGCTGAGCATGATCCCTTCCAGCTCCATCCATGTTGCTACAAATTGCATGTGTTTATCTTTTTTGAATGCTGAGTAATATTCCATGGTGTATATGTACCACATCTTCTTGATCCAGTCATCTATTTTTGGGCATTTGGGTTGTTTCCAAAGCTTAGCTAAAACTTTTGATGAATGGCAGGCACTTGTTATCCTCAAGCTTATCCTCAAGCAACAAAAAAACGAGTTCTTGAAAGAACAGCTTCCTTCCCAGTGTGTCACCAGCCTCTCAAGCGCTTCTGTCAACAGGGACTTGTCAATTGATTGATATTTTGCTGTGTCTCCTTTGACAGAGCTATTCTGAGGGGTAATTGTTAACCGCAAGTGGGTGTTTTACCAAATGCCAGTGACACCTCGGCAATCTGGGGGCAGTCATTTTAACAAATTGTTGGGACTTTTCAAGATGAAAGTCCCATCAAGACAAGATCATTTGAGTAGCTCGAAGCCCCACTGAGACCATATTGACGTTTAAATATTCAGATACAATTACACGGCTTTTTTGTTGTTGGGGACAAACATGAAGCTGTCTAAATCTTCCCCGGTGCCTCTGACACCCCTCCCTTGGGAACAGAAGCTGTTGACAGTCTTTTCATGCTTCAAACATCTTCTAAAATGACAAAGTCCTAGTGGAGGGGTTAAGAAAGTGACAGTATATAATTGTGACAAAGTGTCATACTTCATTCAAGTTGCACATAAAAGAATCAGCATTTATTTGCCTGCAAAATACTCTATAGATGTTTGGTTTCTCTTGGTTGGAAGGGGAAACACCTTGTAGTCTATGTTTGGTCTCTTCCAAAAGAGACATTAGGGGATGAAGTGGTCAGCCAACCCTGGAGCACCCCCTGAATTCTCTCCTTTTAATAGGGTTGAATTTTGGAAATGCAACTTGGGAATTCATCTTGGAAAAGCAATGTGGAAAAGGAAATATAGCTTACAGGGCCTTAAACCTGCCTTTTCAATCATCATGCCTCCACTTGGTTTTGTGACCAAGATTAGCAAACTGCTGAGAGGTGGGACTTAGAACTCTAGGAATGACAAATGAATGTGGTGTCTTTGGAGTACTCCAACCTTCGCCAGCCCTTCTCTGTCTAAACTCTCATGCAGACTTTGCCTTTCCATAGTATGGACCTTTGATTTAATCTTGTTTTTGGCAGTATAGGGCTGGACTGGCTGTCAGGAGACCTGGTTTCTTATACTGGCTCTTTGAATGGATTTACATAAGTTACTTTGCCTCTCCTTTCCTTTCTTTCATTTGTTAAAGATTTATTTATTTATGCATACAAGAGCTGGGGTGTAAGCCAGAGGTGCAGAGGGTGAGAGGATTCACCAGAGATAGAGTGGGGAGTAGAACAGGTGGATTGACTGAAGTACACTGCTGAGGGGAGCAGCGGGCGAGTCTGGAGAGGTCTGCTGCACCATGTGGGTATCTCCCTGGCCAGGGATCAAACTCGTGCCACAGTGCCTGCCAACAGCCTCACAGCACTGATTCTTAACCCCGAGCACCACCAGGGAGGCCCCATCTTTCCTTTTCTATGAGATGGATGAATTGGATTCTTTATTCTATACTTGCACTGTTCAGCCACACGTGACTATTTAAAATAAATTAAGATTCAGTAAAATTAGAAACAGTTTTTTCTATTATAGTGGCTACATTTTAAGAGCTCAGTGACCACATATAGTGGCTACAGTATTGCATTGACTCTCCCATAGGATTATTTTCAGCTCTGAAATTTTCTGAGTTCCCTATTTGGTTTTCTAATGAGTAAGATTTCTGTCATTGTAAGTGATGTCTTATCCCTCCCTCTTCCTCTTACCCTTTTCCCCAAAATTCCCTTGCTCAAATATTTTTTTGGTGCACTGTCTAGACACTTAGGTGGTGGATACACAAAGAAAAGATGCAGTATCAGTTTTCACGGCACTCATAGTCCAATTGGGGAGTTTGACATTAATCAAATCAGTGCACTGATGAATGTTAGATTATAAACCTAGATAACAGAATATGTTTCTATGGGAATTTTATCAGAAGGCAAGAAAAGGAAAGGAAGGGAAAGGGAATTCAATGGAGGAAATTGCACTGGTAAGTGGGAGGGTGCAGAGTTAGAGAAGCGGCACTGAGGTGGCTGGAACACAGAGGGCACATGGAGAGGGCGAGAGATAAAGCTCGAGATAGTGCAGGGCCAGCATTTTAACCCACCTAGCACAAAACCAAACTTGAGGTGTGTTTAACCAGTGTGGGATAATTATCCTTTGGATTGTCAGCTGCTTTAAGCTGAAACCATCTTTAAGTGGTTTCTGCTTTTTTGTTTCTCCTCTCTCTCATCACCAATCTTAAGTATTCTCCTCCCATAAGCAAATGGTGAAGCTGGCGGGGTGGGGGGTGGGGGCGGGCAGTGAGGGGAAGAAATCACGGTGGTCAGTGAGAAATACATGTATCATAATCATCTCTTTTCCTTGGTGGCTACATACTGTGTTTGGTCCACATTTTACCTCTTGCCACAGAAAAGCAAAATTTGAGTTGGAAGGGACCAGGTCATCTGGTCAACCCCTGTTCTACAGCGATATAATCTGAGAACCACAGACATTCTCTAAGCCTTCCAAGGTGGATACTCCAACTCTAACTGGTGAAGCCAGTTGGGATTGAAGTCCCAGGATTAGAGAGGCTGAGGGCAAGTTTCACAACACAGACATTATTTCAGTGAACGGATTCTTTGGTTAAATTCAACAAATACATATTAGTGCTCCTTGATGGCAGGAAATTGTACAAGTTGCTTGGGAGAAACAGATATGTTTTAAAGCCTGTACCTTCAAAGCAAGTAAAATTAAAATGTGGTCAATTTAAAATTTTTAGAAGTCACAACATAAGCTATTTAATTTTATTTTTTGTTTATTCTTTAATTTACCGAGTTTGTATTGTAAAAATGGGTGTTTATTTTGGTTTTTCTATGCTTTATGTTTTTTTCCAAATTGATATTTAAATGGGTGGTCCATAAAATTTATCTAAATCCCTTGGAGAATGATTAATGTCAAATGGATGCATTCCATTGGCAAATGATTAGTGTCCAGGGATGCATTCATTCACCATGATCGTATTTAAATTGACAGAGATTCACGAAACAAACAAAACAGTAGAGGCTTGAGTTCAGGGAGTCAAAGGACAAATATGAGCCACACCAATCTGAGCCAAGGGATCTGTGACTGTGTTATTTAGAGAGATGATAGGGTTCCCACACTCTCTGAAACTAGGGTATCATGGGGAAAACTTCCATAAACGGACGCAACCTAAGGTAAGGAAATAATTACCATTAATTTACATGGACATCTTTGAATATTCCCATATCCCCAAAATAACCTACCATATACCAACTAACAAAACATCTAAAATAACAGTAACACAAGGTAAAGACAGGAATGATAAAAACACAGCCCGTATAAAGTAGTTTGGGAAAAGGGCCTTGGCGGGGCCACTCTCCCTGCTCAGGGCCCTGCTGCCTCCATCACAGCTGCTGCAAAAATAGGCTGAATGCTATTTTGGGGTTCTGTCATAAAAGCAAAAACCTTCTTCAGCTTTCTTTTGTTTAGCAAAAAAGGCCCTAATGGAGGTCTTCTGCTTGGTAAAAATGAAGTGACCTAACATGATGCTTCTAACTAGGGGATACCCCTACTGTTTAGGACAAACATGTAAGGGAATGAAAGAAGTAAGACAGGGTATGGTTAGTGAGAAATACATATATCATAATCATGTATTATGATTATGGGGTGGTGGGATGAGGGATGGGACCTGAGAAAATCAACTCTGCCTGAGCCCTGAAAGATGCAGGAGCAGAAATAGCTCCATGTATGATTTTAGTTACAATTGGAGGGGGAGGGGGGCATGTGATTGTATCCCCAGGTGACCAAACATTGGCCATCTAGGTGGCGGGGTGAATTCCTGAAGGTCTTCGGACGAGCCCTCCTTCAACCAGGGCCGGGTCTCTGGGCAAGGTCTCCAGCACAAGCAGTTTACTATTGCACTTGCAGCAGCTGCAGCATCTGTGCTGACTGGCAGAGCAGATCTAGGTGGGATACTAGTAGTGTACTCTGTTGATAGAAAACTGGTTTCTTTTATTCATTTGAGGTGATGTGCGCAGGGTCCATGTCAGGGATGTAATGGAAAGGTCAAATGTCTGTTAGAATGGAACAGAGGGTGGCAGGTGAGCCAGGGTAGATGGTGACTAAGAGGAAGCTAAGGGAGACAATAGTGTGCTGGGCTTTCTGCCAGAGAGCTATACCAGAGGGCTAGGCAGGTAGATACGTGGGATAGAAAGGCACTGAATTAAGAGAGATGGAGTCTAGCCAGTAGCCAGTAGCCAGTTTTGCTGTATTTTATCTTAAGTTGTCTCTCTTCTCCAGTCTGCAGGGAGGCCTCTGTGGGAGACGTCGTGTTTCTGGTGCACACCAACATCAGGACCCCGTATGTCCACTACATGAGGAAATTCTTGAGCAACCTAGTAGGAGGTTTGAACGTCAGCAGGGAGGCCATCCATGTGGGGCTGGTCCTGTACAATGACATTCCCCATTCAGAGTTCCTGCTTTCCACCTACCACCACAAAAACGAAATAATGAAACATATTCAGAAGCTTCAGTTTAAACCCGGGGGCAACAAGATGGGTTTGGCCCTGCAGTTCCTTCTAAGTTCTCACTTCCAGGAGAAAAACGGGAGCCGGGCCGGCCAGGGTGTGCCTCAGATCGCTGTGGTGATCAGCAGTCAAGCATCAGAGGACCCTGTGCAGGAACCTGTTGAGGCGCTTAGAAGGGCAGGCATCCTGCTGTATGCTGTTGGCATCAAAGATGCGGCATCAAAGGAGCTCAGGGAGATCGCGAATAGTCCTCCAGAGAAATTCACCTCCTTCATTCCTAACTTCCCTGCGCTGACCCGTCTGGCCCCAGCGCTGCTGCTGGAGCTCTGTGCCACGCTGGCAAAGGCAGCTCAACCTGTAGACCATGTCTCTCCAGGTACAGACACCTTTCCCTTCTTATTTTCCACATGTTTAATTGAATAGCAAATTTCCATTATTTGGACTCTATGCTCCACTGCAATCACTGCCCAAAGACTTAGCAACTCTTTTTGTAAATGCTGTAAGTCTTGTGCTGATTCTATGTATGAGTGTAGTATGAAGCCATTTTGAAGGAAGAGTGATTTTTCCCCCCGAATGATGCTATTCCTAGATTAATTTAGTTATATTGCTTAGATGGGAGCTGGGGGTGGGGAGGGGCAGAAGAGCTCCCTGGAAGTTTGCTTATTTGACAGTCTGAGTGTTGGTTTCATGTGCTGATGAACAGAAGAATTGTAAGGTGAAGAAAGATTGGGGTTCAAATCCTAGTTTTCCACTTTACAACTGTCATCTTGAACAAGTGACTTTATCTCTGTGTCCTTTTTCTTTTTTTAAAGGCTTATTTATTTATTTTATACAAGAACCGGGGTACAGGCCAGATGCATGGGAGGGTAAGAGGATTCACCAGAGACAGAGTGGGGAACAGAATAGGCAGACTGACGAAATACACTGCTGAGGGGAGCAGCAGGTACAACAGGAGAGGTCTGCCACGCCATGTGGGACCCTCACCAGCTGGCTGGATCGAACCAGCGCTGCAGAGTCTGTGGACAGCTTCGCAGTGCGTTGCTCAACTGCCTGCACCACCAGGGGAGGCCCGACTTTATCTCTCTGAATCTAAATTTTATTCCTGGCTGATCACACCTGCCTCAGGGATGCTATATTTACATAAGTATTTTTCTTCTTAATGAGATTCCAGGGATTGTCCAAGTGGATTTCATGATTGACGGTATCAGTAGATCAGGGGCCACTGAGAATGAGCTGCCTGGCATTGCTCTCCCTTTCTGTATCCCGTTAAATTTCATTGATTCTAAGAATTTTAAGTGAAGACCTGCTGACCCCATCCCTCTTGTCCTCTCTCCTCCTGTAGCCTGCAAAGAAGCAGTGTTGGCAGACATCGTGTTCCTAGTAGACAGCTCAACTAGCATTGGGCCCCAGAACTTCCAGAAAGTAAAAAACTTCCTTCACTCTGTCGTCTTGGGGCTGGACATCAGCAGTGACCAGGTCCGAGTGGGACTCGTCCAGTACAATGATAACATCTATCCAGCCTTTCAACTGGACCAGTACCCTCAAAAGAACGTGGTCCTGGAGCAGATCCAGAATCTGCCCTACCGAACAGGAGGCACAAACACAGGGAGTGCCCTGGAGTTTGTCAGGACCAACTATTTGACCGAGGCAGCTGGCAGCCGGGCCAAGGACAGGATCCCACAAATAGTTATTCTGGTGACAGACGGGGAGTCAAGTGATGAAGTCCAGGAGGCAGCAGAGTCATTGAAAGAAGATGGGGTTTTTGTGTATGTGGTAGGGATCAATGTCCAGGATGTCCAGGAGTTGCAAAAAATAGCCAGTGAGCCATTTGAGAAATTTCTCTTCAACACCAAGAACTTCAACATCCTGCAGGGTTTCTCAGGAGGGATTCTACAGACTCTGTGCTCGACAGTGGAGGGAAGGATAAAAGGTAAGAAACTGATCCTTACCCAACAGTTCAACACAGATGACTCAGTGCAATAGGAGTCAGAATAAACACAGAGCTGTGGGAGGGCAGGGGATGGAGCAATTTGCTATCACTGCAGAAATCAGGAGACTTCCAAATGAGGGGGACATTTGAGCTGGGGATCGAAGGATGGAGTTCTCCAGGGTCGAAAAGCAGAGGAAATAGAATGCATCTTGGGGGCTGGAAGACCCGTTTGTTTACTTCTGCCAGTGCCAATTTCTAGTTAGGTCTGCTTGAACAAGCAGCTTCATTTCTTGCTTCAGCTTTTCTCATCTGCACAATGGAGATAATAATATTTGCCTAGTAGGATGGTTTAATGCAGGTTGAATCAGATAAAGTGGATGCATGTAAGATATTGAAGGATTAAACATAGCAAGACAGCAGCCATTTTAAGGAAGACGACCATTTTGAAGAGCACAGCTGAGCCCAAGTTTCGTTTCAGGGTAAAACCACAAGTTCCACAAGGCAAGGATAAACAAAACTTAAAGGTTGCCAAAGAAAGGTACACAATCAGATTAAACTTGGTCCCTGTTGTGAAAGGTCCCCTTTTTCTGATATGAAAGGTCCCCTTTTTCTGCTGTCAACAGAGTATAAAAAACAGCTTGTCACCCTTAAAGGGGTCCTTCTCTCAACCTGATGAGACTGCTGTGTCAGTACACCAGGCAGAGTCGGACCCTAGCTTAAGCTAGCAATAAAGCCTTTTTGCTTTTGCATCTCTGGCTCCATGTAGTTTTTGGGAACCCCGGACGGAATTGAGGCGCCAACTCCTAACATGCATATCTCCAGTACAAAGTAACTTCTCAGCATGTTTACCTTGCCTCCACCACTGTTTGAAGAAGAAGAACTAAAAGAAACTTTAGTCTGATAAAGCAGACAATCATGGTAACAGGGTAAAATGCAAGGAAGTCTTGAGGGAGTGTTCTCCAGAGGAGGTAGCAGGACCATCTACTCAGAGTTGCATAAGTAAGCATCTCTCCATCTTACATTCACCACCAAAATCCTCCTTGTGTTCAATTCTCATGAGATCTTGATTTTGTTACGGAGCAGCCCCGTATGTAATTATGTATGGAATTAGCTTTAGGACATCCTTTTCCCTCTAACAATTTGACTTAGTTTCTTCTGGCTTTTGCTCCTCTTCTCTATTCTGTTCCAGAATTCACCAAGGCCTATGCAGATGTGGTCTTTCTTGCCGACACCTCACAGGGCACATCACAGACCAGTTTCCAGAGGATGCAGACTTTCATCTCCAGAGTGATCGGCTTGCTGGATGTTGGCAGGAACAAGTACCAGATTGGACTGGCTCAGTATGGTGGTCAAGGTCACGCTGAATTTTTGCTCAATACCTACCAGACCAAGGATGAGATGATTGCTCACATCCAAGAACACTTTTTACTCAGGGGTGGCCCCCGAAGGACAGGCAAAGCTCTTCGATACCTTCATCAGACCTTCTTCCAGGAGGCAGCGGGAAGCCGATTTCTCTTGGGCACCCCACAGTACGCAGTGGTCCTTACCTCGGGCAGATCTGTGGATGAGGTTCAAGATGCCGCACAGACCTTGAGGGAGAAAGGCGTGAGGGTTATGTCTGTGGGTGTACAGGACTTTGATAGGCAAGAACTAGAAGAGATGGGATCCCCATCCCTTGTCTATGAGATGCACGGACAAGACGGAGTCAGACAGATGATGCAGGATGTGAGTGAGATGATCCAGGGCACTGGGAAGCCAGAGACCAGGACTGCGCCTGAGCAGGAGGCTCTTGTAGGTAAGACTTGATCCTGAAGTGTGCGAGTCGCTGGAAGCGCGCATGAAAGAATAGAGTTCGACAGATTTCCCCTTTCAGGGGCACATAGCAGGTTTACCCAGAAAAGGAGGCAAGGATGTTTGCACAGACACAGGCAGGCAAAGGCTGCATTTTGAAAGTGAGACACAGGGCAAGCTAGAAATTATGTAGTTTTAGTGACAGTGCAGGAGGGGACCTCTGAAGAATTTAGGGAGGCTTCAGAGATAAGGACAACCAAGGGAATGTAACCAATTCCACTAGGAAAAACAAACATCCCAGGACCAAGGACGACATTGTTAACGCTGGTCCTGGTTTCCTTCAGGTGGTAAAGGGAGGCGGAGATTGGAGAAATGGAGAGTGGTTTAATTTATGGACAACTTAGAAGGGCAGCTGTTTAACTTCAATGCAGGGATGCCCATCCAGAGGACTGGGCCATAAAGATAAAGATGCAACAAATGGGGAAAGAGAAAGCTGTTAGATAAGGAATGTGAAGATCCCCCACTCAGTAGCAAATTACGTGAGACAGCCGAGAACTAACCAATCACAAAGAAACTGGTGGAGCTTTAGAATAATGAGGGAAAAAAGGGTATATATTCCCTGAGACACGACTCCACTTTGGCTTCCTTGCCCCTCCCAGGCCTGGTTTCCTGGACTGGGAGTCCCACTTTATTTCTGCTCTTTTTCTCCTCAATAAACTTTTTCTTTCTTTAAACAAACCTGCCTCTTCTCGCTTGCTTGCCTGAGCGTCTGCGAAGTTCCTGCTGCGGCTTCGTGAGACACCAACCCGTGGGGGTCTAGTGGCTGGGACTCAGTGCTGCCCCTGCAGCCTGGGATCTGTTCCTGGCTGAGAGACTAGGCCTGACAATTCCGGTATCAAAAGGACAGGTTTACTAGGCAAAGGAAAGGAGAAGATGTTTGTTTAGATACAAGAGGGCAGAAAGAGTTGCTGCTTTGCAAAGGATAAATGTTTGTAAAAAGAAACATCTGCATAGTCACAGGTGAGCTGAAGAGCAGCATTTTGCAAAGGAAAAGCTTTTGTGAAAAAGAAACCCCTGTTACTACAGGCGGGCAGGAGAGCTGCTGCTTGCCAGTGCACAAATTGTACTGCTAGTGTTCTTTTTTGGGGGAGAGGTTCATTCCTCTGTGAAGTTTTATCTGTTGTTAGGTTAATCACTTCTAGGGTGTGACTACATTGATATGTAATGACTGGCGATTCTCTGTAATGGCCCTCAATCTCCATATCCCCAATCTCTGGTCTGAGGCCTCTGGATTTTTCATTTCCATAGCTGGTTTAACAACTATGTTAATCTCTTCTACCCGCCATTCCCACCCAATTTCTGTAACAGGGCCAAATTAGTCTTTAAGAAAGTTTTCAGTAGCAGACTGGATTGCACAAGACATCTCAGTTCCAGAAAAACTTTAAGATGGACATAGGGAGGATGTCTGTGCCCAGCCCAGTGGTGACTGATAAAGAGGAAGCAGATGAATCCTGGAGAAAACTGGAAAGGAGAATAACAGCACTTGGTAGTATTATAGGACAGCCCCGATATTGAGGAGGGGCAGGGAACCTGGAACCTCCCCCTTTCCTGGGGACCACCCTGTTACAGTAGCAGCAGGTGAAGAAGGGGAATTCTGAGGCTTGGAGTTTCTGAAGGTGTTTTAGACTCAGCAAAATCCTGGCAACACCCTCTTTTTTAAATCTAGGATTGGTTTTTTGTTCTTTTATTTAAAAAGGGTCAAAGGGAAACTTTTGGGACACTGAGAGACCAAAAATAAGTCAAAGGTTATTCTGTTGTCCCCATATTCTCTTCTCTACACACTGTTTCACGATATTCAGCTGTTTACATACAAAATTCTCAACATTCAGCTGTTTACATACCAATATGCACAGTTTTCTGCATATGTGGTTATCACTTCCTGCTAGAAGGTTTCTTTTTTTATGCATCAAAGCAGATTTGGACCTCTACAGGTTTCCTAACATCAGACACTGCCGAAAGAGGGCAGGGAGGTGTCTAGACTTCTCTTAGAAGGGAATTTCTACGTCACTAACTTCATTACTTCATTTAAGCCAGGTTAAAGGGAAGGTTTTCTTTTACCAAAATGAAATAACCAGCTACACCAACTTTTAGACAATTTTCCAAAGACGCTTGCAACATTTCATGATGCTTCTGTAGAAATGACATGTCATTTATCAGAAAAGGGTACACAAGTTACAAGTCACACTTTGCTATCTGTCTTTCACCAAGAGAGAGGAAAATGTACTGTATCAGGGAGGTTTCAGGCTTGTAAAAGAGAATTTGATCCAGGGACTCCTGAAGCTAGAAAAATAAACACGTCAAATTAGACTTAAATGCTTCTCATGGACTTAGATGAATGGAAAAATAATCTTGAAACACTTCCTTGTGGGTGGTCACATATTCATATATTTCATAAGTGATGTGTTTACACTTTCCATGAAAAATTTTGAGCTAGGAATTACCCTGTGGTGATCTTTGATCCACCATGTCAAATGATGGTCATGCAGGTGTTTTTTAAATCCTACAACATAATAACAAAAGTTAATATAATATCTGTCAGTACCATTTGTAATACTAGAAATGTTAGCATACAAAATATAGCATAATACACATATATAGACTGAGTGGTCTTTATTACTGTGTTCTTATGCTAACACCCTTCTTTCTGGTTTTGTTTGTAGCATGTCTGATTGCTATTCCAACTGACTTAGTTTTCCTAATTGAGGAGTTTAGCAGGGCTAGGCAATCAAATTTCCAGCAAGTGGTCAATTTCTTAAAGACCACGGTCAGCTCTCTGCGCATCCATCCTGATGTGGTGAGAATGGGCTTGGTCTTTTACAGTGAAGAACCACATCTTGAGTTTTCACTGGATACTTTTCAGAATGCAAACAAAATCTTGGAACATTTAGACAAGTTAACCTACAGGGGAAGAAGAGGAAAGACCAAGACTGGTGCTGCTTTGGATTTCCTAAGGAAAAGAGTTTTCATTCAGGAGAAGGGCAGCAGGCATGGGGTCCAGCAGATGGCCGTGGTCATCACAGACAGCAGCTCTCACGACAACGTGTCCAGATCTGCTTCTCTCCTCCGCAAAGCGGGGGTCACCATCTATGTGGTGGGCACCCAGCTTGCCTCAGACAATAAGGACCTGGAGAAGATAGCGTCATATCCTCCTTGGAAGCATGTCACCCAACTGGAATCCTTTCTGCAACTTTCCATTGTGGAAAGAACCATTAAGAACCAGCTCTGCCCTGAGATTACGGGAAGAGGGGCTTCTGTTTCCAGGACAGACCATGCCCTACAAGAAGGTAGGAGGAAACTTTTCAAATGCGGTCTTTTTTTTAAAGTAATCTTTATTCTTCTTGTTCCATATACCTGTCTTCTATACTTGAATTATTTCAATTCAAGTTACCCATCCCTTCATGGGTAAATGCCCAGCCAAATAGGGTTGTCCCAAAGTGGGGCCACTGAGACTTGAAAGCTTGCCACAAGTCGAAGGTGACCCCAGGGGACACGGGTAGGTAAGTGGGTGCGAGAAGGGTGAGGACAAGCAGCCAATACAGGCTGAGTTAGAGAGCACATTATGGCTGAAGGTGACTGGGGCTCAGTTTTGCTGGGGCTTCAGGAAAACCTTGTAGAAGTCACCTTGGAGTTGTCCTACCCAAAATGCAAAGGAACCTGGGTAGTTATTCACCAACTCCTGTCAATCATTGGTTGGTTTCTATTCCCAAAGTCATCCCACCCAGTGTGTAGACTGATCTATGCTCCTGGCCAAAGAATGTCCTTACAGAGGCACAGGTGTTTTCACAGAAAGCGGTTGACTCTCAAGGAAACCACGAATGCCAAGGGAAGATGGGTCGGGACAGGGCTCAGGCTACATGCCTTCTCGTACTTTGTTCTAATGGGTCACTGCTGTTTCTTTTTGCCTAGGTTGTGTGCATGTGGAGAAGGCAGATATCTACTTCCTTATTGATGGATCTGGCAGCATCTACCCAGACAATTTCCTTGAAATGAAGTCATTCATGTATGAGATGATAAAGATGTTCCAAGTTGGGCCCGACAGAGTACAGTTCGGAGTTGTCCAGTACTCAGAGGGAGTTAGAATTGAATTTTTTCTTGACCAGTATTCCAGTGTGGCAGGGCTGAAGGGAGCCCTTGATGGCATCCAGCAGAAGGGAGGCGGCACCATGACCGGGGGGGCCTTGCATACCATGGCTCAGGTCTTCACAGGCACTGCTCGCCAAGATGTGCCTTGGTATCTCATTGTCATCACCGATGGTAAATCTTCCGACCCGGTGGCTAAGGCTGCAGAGGCACTGAGGGGAGGCAGAGTCAGCATTTATGCAATTGGCATCAGAAACGCAAACACTACCGAACTTAAGGAAATAGCTGACGACAAGGTATATTTTGTCTATGAGTTTGATTCCTTGAAGTTCATCCATAAAGAGGTGGTACAGGACATCTGCTTCTCAGAAAGTAAGAATTTTTTTTCTTTAGCTTCTCTATCTCTCCAAATATATGTGTCTACTCTAATTGAATAGGCTTCTTTCTTGAAGGGTGGATTCCCTGATCTGAAAGTGAGTGGGACACAGTGACCATGACCTAGAATGAACCAAGCTGGTCATGTTTTATATCTTTATTATAAAGCTGTGTCTTATTTTGAGACTGGTCTGAGTCACAGACAATTTATTTCATTGAACTCTCCTGTCACTCCCTTTAAGAATATTTTCATGTTGTGGACATGCCTCACTAGACTGTCCTTGGGAATTTGTCATTAATTGGCTTCAGACTCTGAGTGAATGTTCTGCTCATTCCACTTCTTGCCCCCCAGCCTGTAAGACCAGGAAAGCTGACATCATCTTCCTGATAGATGGCTCAGAATCCATTTCCCCCAAAGACTTTGAAAAGATGAAGGAATTTATGAAGAGGATGGTGAATCTGTCTAATATTGGTCCTGATGAAATTCAGATTGGCCTCTTGCAGTTCAGCACAAATCCCCAGGAGGAATTCAGGCTCAATAAGTACTCCTTTAAGGTGGACATTCATGAAGCCATCTCAAACGTTCAACAACTGAATGATGGCACCCGCACCGGGAAAGCTCTGAATTTCACTCTGCCTTTTTTTGACAGTTCAAGGGGAGGAAGACCCAGCATTCATCAATATTTGATTGTGATCACAGATGGGGTCGCCCAGGATAATGTGGCTCTACCAGCCAAGGCGCTGAGGGACAGAAACATAATTATTTTTGCTCTAGGGGTGGGAAAAGCCCAAAACTCTCAGCTTTTGGAGATTACTAATGACCAGAGCAGAGTGTACTATGAAGAAAAATTTGAGTCCCTGCAGAACTTGGAGAAAGAAATATTTTATAGGGTCTGCATTCCACAAGGTGAGTGACAAAGGATTTGCTATAAGATCTACAAGCCCATCTTAGGTGTCAGTGACATTGTCGCCTCTTTCAACAGGAAGAAAGACTGACCCCTCTAGCGGGTGGATGCAGGGGAGCTCATGGGAGGAAAGGGTGGCTGACCTGAACTCCTGACCCTGGGGTTCCTTTCCCCTGGGAATTCTTGTCATCTATTCCCATGGCCATTTCCTCTGGCCTCCGGTGGCCTGAAGCTTCTCGGAACTCAGTCTCTACAAAGTCCTGACAACTCTTCCCTTTATTCTTCATAGATAGATAAACCAGTCAGAATGTGTAAACACAACTTACTGCAGATTTAGACATATTGAAAGGGAAATTCAGCAGAGAACAGTACCAGCTAGCCAATCTCTTTTATGAAGTAGAACAACTGTCTTCTCTATGTGGCTTTGTACAAAGGTCTCTCGACATTGTTGCCTCCCTAGGACCAGGTCATGCTCAATTCCACTTTATCTTCTCAAGTTTTTGTCCAAAAAAAGCAAGGTCCAGAGGCAAGGGCTCATCCCCCTGACATTTTGGACCTGCTCTTCTGCTCTTTTCCCAAGTCTTGCCTTTTAGTGGACTACTGATCCAGAGAATGTCCTCCTGGATGATTTCACTTCCTACCCATAGGGGGGCTGAGGAGGTCAGAAGTGAGATTCTACAGCACAATCCATTATAATCAGAATAGCAAACTTTTAGATGGTGCTCTTGTATTTTTTTTTTCCCAGCAGGGGTTGTTCCAAGGTTTTCACAAATTAAATTTTCACAACCTATGAAATAGGTACTATTTTACACAGGAGGAAGCTGAGGCACAGCAATAGCAGGCAATTGGGCTCTGTAAATAGCACAGCTGGGAACCTGAGGCCATCTGTTTCTACAGTCTGTGTTCTAAGTACTGTTCTATGTTGCCTTTTGGTAAAGTATAGGAGAGCACGCTAGGACCTCTCAAACTTTAACATGGGTTTGAATCACTTGGACCTCTTTTCAAAATATAGATTCCAATTCAGTAGGTCAGGGGTGGAATTCTGCATTTCTAACAAACCCTAGATGGTGCTGATCCTGCTCTTCCGAAACCACACTTTCAGCAGGAGGGTAGTAATAAGAGTATAGAGTATAGAATGGTAAAGTCTGGAGTCATGAAGCATAATATAGGCCAATGCAGCAAAGGGTTGTGTAGACAGAATAGCTTAGAATGTCATAGAATGGCACAACATGGTATAAACAAAAATATTAATTTCCTAAATAGAAAATTAGCTCCAGCTTTCCAAATCCTTTTCCATGACTTCCATGTATTTATGAACCTCTCTCTGCTTTGTTTTCTCATCTTTACACTATACTTTATTATCGCATACTAGACTATAGTATACTTTTCCACTGCCTAAAACAGAAAATTGGGGGTAATTGTTAGTTCTGATCTTTTCTAATATGCTCCCCTGAAACAAAGTATATGTATGGTGGTGAGTGAGGAAGAGAACTTTCAGGGGAGAAGAAAATAGTAACAGCTCATGCTGAAAGGGACTAAGGTTCATTTATATTCCCTTCATTCATTTGTCAAACTTGTACTGGGCATCTATTTTAGGCAGTGGGAAATTAGATGACACAGTTCCTACTATGAAGAAATCCTTGTTCAGTGGGAGAGAAGGATAAGGAAAGAAACAATAGACACGCAGAAGAATTTAATAAGTCAACTTGAAGAGCTGGAGACATAGTCAGCGGGAACTTGAGGGTTATTTGCACTGCTACTTGAAGGATAATTGTAATGAGTTCACCAGATTGGGGTGGGAGGTATGGGAAAGGACACTTCAAGTAGCAGGAATAGGCTCTGCAGTGGCACGGAGGTATGAAAGAGTATATATGCAACAGTTAGCTTTTGCTCGGTAACAAACCATCCCCTTGATTAAATGACAACAGTTATTTAACTTACACTTCTATGGGTTGACTGAGGTTAGTTTTGCTGATATCTTCTCCGCTTGCTTATGCATTTATAGATGACTAATTTGATTTTTTCCCCTCTCTTCCATCTTCAAAGGGTGTGACATTGATTTGTCTCTTGGAATTGATCTCTCTACTCCCACAAGGCAAGTTCAACAGATGCTTCAAAGGTTATTGCCAGAAGTGGTGCAACATTTGGACATTGTTTATAACGTCTGCTGTATTGTTTCTGGTGAGGTCAACCCCAAGTTCCGCTACTTGGTTCCTGACTCAAATGACCAGATTATCTTTGACTCAGGCTTTGAGAAGTACAGTGAGGAGATCATTCAGAAGTTCTTGGCTAATCAGTTTGCCAAGAGCAACTATATGGATGTGGAGTTTTTGAAGTCCCTGGGAGAAAGTGCTCTCCAATTTTCCGCTGCTAAAGTCAAGGTAATGAATGCTGAGAACTCATATTATGGATAAGACTTTTGTGACTGAGGTCAAACTGTCTTCATAGGAGATTCTATGTAGAATAGAGGAGAACTATAGTCTTGCTCAGTAAAGACCAACAAGAGGTGTGCTCTCATTCAATCAACAAATATATACTGAGTTCTAGAGATTCCTTGTTGAATGTCAGTAAGGTGTAGCTAAAGGATAAAGTCCCTGCCCTCAAGTTGCCCTAAGTTTAGTAATCCATATTCTTTTGTGGCATAAATCTCCCCCAAAACAACTTGGAAGATATTTTAAGATTATTTAGCTCCTTATGGTCACTCATTATTTCTGTACCTTGAACCATCTTTGGTGACAACTATTACTCTGCAATCCATCTCATCACTTCCTGGTGCCCCAGAACTATACAGCCACAAAAATCCACAGAGATGAAAAGATCCTTCATGACATATTAGGAAATGATATCCCCAAACTTCGAAAGTTACTTTTATATTATCCTTCAATCATTCATGCAATGGATTTATTTCTTGACTATTATGATTCCTTTAAAATTAGAATATTCACACATAACATTTTAATTGTAGAAAGTGCATTATTTGGTATTTTTACACTGATAAAGAAGAATATTGTAAGAATTTTTGGAAGGTTTTTTTTTTTTTTTTAAGATTATTTGTTTTTTACACAAGAACCGGGGTACAGGCCAGATGTGCGGGAGGGTGAGAGGATTCACCAGAGACAGAGCAGGGAACAGAACAGGCAGATTGACTGAAATACACTGCTGAGGGGAGCAGCAGGAGAGACAGGAGAGGTCTGCTGGCCATATGGGTTGCTCCGAGGCCAGCGGGGATCGAACCCACACTGCAGAGTCTACGGACAGCTTCACAGCGCAGCGCTCAACTCCTGCGCCACCATGGAGGCCCAGGAAGGTGTTTTTAAATGAACAGACTATTAATTTTTGTTTTTGGTTGGGGGAAGGTTGAAATAACAGTGAATGTGTAATAAAGTAACACATACATGTGTAAAACAGAACCCTGAGAAAGACTAGATAATACCAGAAAAGCTAAGCTTAACCTTGCATTTTAAGGAACGTGCAACTTACAGTATTTATTTTCTCCATTCCCCTTTCACTCCCCTCTTCCCTTTTTCTTCTCTCCCTGCTCCCTGTCTCCTTTACTTCCCTCTCATAAACAACAGGTACTTATAGTGTTTACAGATGGACTGGATGATAATTTAGAGAGGCTGAAGGAAACATCCGCGTTTCTCCGCAGCAGAGGTATGTGCATAGCGTTGCCCAGCGTGGGCGCCACAGAAGCTGAGATACGCCTTCAGGTTTTCAGAAGGCACTGGGCTCTTTTTAGCCTTTTCTATGCTAACCCCAGTGACTGGAGCCAGAGCCCACATGTCTGCCTCTTTGTATGAAGCAGGGGGCCATTCAGTATTGACAAGCCCTGGAGCGTTATCCCCGACTGCGAAGAAGGGTCATTCTGACAGAGGCAGGAGGCACCAAATGCCACTTGTTAAGCAAGAAACCAACTCCGGTCAAGCTGGAAAGGGGGAAAAAAGGCTTTGCTTATTTGGGGCTTTTGGACTGCAGCCTGGGGTCACGGACCCAGGAAGCACGGCAGCGTTAGCCTGAGGTGGTGGGGGGCTTCTATACACAAAGGAAGGTGGGCGCCTTCACACGCCAGCCCACGCTGCAATACAGGGCTTCAAGTCCACCCAGGTCTGGTTGGTGAAGAGCGAGCCAGCCGGTGATGGGTTGAATTTCAGTCCTGGGTGGGCTTCTGGCAGGTGCGCGCGTGTGCGCATGCGCATGTATGTGCGCATGCGCGTGCGTGCTGCTTGGCGCGGGACCGCAGCGTCATCGCGACTGCGTTGCTGGCTCTGTGCTCGGGTGTCCATGTTTTTCTTGGTTTCATTTGTGTGTGTTGCCCGCTTCTCAAGGGGTGTTTAAAGATGCACCCTCCTTGTGGCGCCCTTAGGCCAGGTAGGGCGCCCTGTGTCTCCTTTTCCTCAACTCTGGCGTCTCTCTAAAGCCCTGCAGGCCCTGCTCTTTTTTTTTTTTTTAGTATTTTTATTTTTATTTATTTATTTATACAAGCACTGGCTACAGTCAGAAGGCGGGAGGGTGAGAGAATTCACCAGAGCCAGAGCGGGGAGCAGAGCAGGCAGAAGGACCAAAGTACACTGCTGAGGGTGTTATAGGACAGGGAGAGGGGCAGCCCAAACCCCGCAAACCTGCCTATTCTATGTAGGGTTCTGCCATCCGCCGCATCAACACAAAACATATGAGACTTTAATGGGAAGGAACTTTAATACAATTTGGAAACAATACAGGAAAGGCAAAGAATCTAGTTTCTAAATCAAGCACCCAAAGTTACCCGTCCCCTCGTGGGTAAAACTCCATCCAAATGGGATCGGCCCAGAGCAAGGCCCCAAAGCCTGCCACAAGTCTAAAGCATCTTCCAGTGGGGACCCTCAGAAAAGGGACAGAAACAACCAGACAAGCCCAGAAGGAAAAGAGCAAAATCAAAATCAAGATAAAAGCTGCCATTGTCACCTCCCCACGGGTCTCACCCACATCTGTGTCACCCAGTCCACGACCAAAAGACAAGCGCAGTTTCTTCACGTGTCTCTAGCTCCATGCGCCTCCTCCAGGTCTCCTGGCTCCATCCTGCTCCTTCCTTCCTCAGTCTCCTCTGCAGCTTCTTCTCGCCCTGCTCAGCTCCACCCTCCCTTGGGTGGGGCAGGGAACCTGGAACTTTCCTCTTTCCTGGGGACCACCCTGTTACAAGGGGAGCATCAGGCGGCAGAAGAGGTCTGCGCACCATGTGGGACCCTCGCCCGGTCGGATGGAACCGGCGCTGCAGAGGCCGTGGGCAGCTTTGCAGCCCAGCGCTCAGCCGCTGCGCCACCAGGGGAGGCCCTGCAGGCCCTACTCTTGTCATGGCCCGTCTCCCCATTTTGTCCCCTAATTCTGACTTTTCGGCCGTGGCCAGCGGAGCTGCTGCCACCGCAGAGGCCGTGGAAGAGCCGCCAGCATCGTGTGTGGGCCCACCTAGCTGCTTAGCTCTCTGCAGCGGCCTCGGAAGAGAGCAGACCCATTCTTCACGGAGGCATGCCGTGAGCTAGTTTTGATTTTAACCAAAACGCAGTTTGAGGCAAGATGGGTGAAGGGCATGGGAAGCTTGGGATGATGGATGAGCATCTGGGACCGAGAGGCGGAACCCTCAAAAGACACGCAAGTAAATTGCCCACCTGTTGGTATTTGGCAGGGCTCTCTGCTCTCCTCTTAATTGGCCTGGAAGGTGTGACTAAATTAGAAGAACTCCAGGAGCTAGAATTTGGCAGAGGGTTTACATATAACCAGCCTCTGAGCAGCACCCTGCCATCCCTCCCAAGCATCTTACGGAAGCAAGTTGTAAGTATAGTTTTACGTTGCTCTTCACTAGGGCTATTCGTTCTTAGAATATTTAAAAACTTGAGGGAATCTTTTTAGTGCGAAACAGATGGAAAAATTGTGATATGGATTCTGTTTTTCAGGACACGGTGGCAGAAAGGACGTGCTGCAACATGCTTGCAAAGTGTTTTGGAGAAGATGGATACAGAGGGCTTGTCGGGAGCCTTGGGAGGAAGGTAAGCAAGTGCTGGATGTGGATGGGGAAGGGGGAGAGAAGACATTTCAGTGTCCACTAAGCTCAGGCCCTGTGTGGTGTCTTTGATACATCTCTTCTAGTTCTACCCTCCCAACAGACCTTCGAGATTAAATATTAATTTACAGATTGGAAATTGAGGCTTAGAGAGGGGACATGACTCCACCAGCGTAACAGTTGTGAAGAGACATTTTGAAATTTAAACCCCTTTGTCTGCTTGCCTCCCATTTTCACATTCTTCCCACTTTATTATGCTGCCTATTTGCGTTTACTTGACAAGTATTTTTCACTGATTTTACCATTGCTCAGAAGTTTTCTCTTGTCTATAGAATGTTCACTTGCCCAACAACTGTTTTCCTCCTATCTGACATTCACACTGCAGCATTAACCTCTGAGGAATGCTACAGTCACTGGTTTCGTGTAGTGGGTCAGTTATGTAGAGTTAAGTGGTAGTAGAATTGTGACTGACCACTTTTGAGGGAGAATATTTTGTTAGAAGTAGTTGCTGGATATTCACAGTTCATCAGGCTTCATTCTCACCAAGACCACTGCTTTTTGGTGAGGCTTAGTCAAACCCATTGCCTTTGCCCATCTATTTCCACTCTCTTTGTAAGGTTTTCCATGAGATATTTGGAATGAGCTCTTACTAACTTCGAGGCTCAGTCTTCACTCAGAATAGTATAAAGTGTATCATTTTTGAAAAATATTTTCTTGCATCTTAGCACTAGATATTTTCCCCTTGTGTTGTTCTTTAATATTAGGCTGAGAATCAGAAATTCAAGATTGGTAACCTCTGGACATATTGTTTTGGCGACTCAAGGACTATGCCTCAAAAGCCAAAGATGGGAATGCTTTGAAATTTTGATTTCTCAGCTTTTTCTATTAGAATTCAGTGGTTGGTTCATATCTTTGTGAGTCACAAATTGTGCTCTCAGATCTTTTTTCCCCATTGGTGGCAGGAGGTTTTATTGATGCTAATGGAGGTAGCAGTGGGACCATGGAAGCCCTAGGGGTGGAAATGGGGTGGATGCCTGAGGTCTGGACACACGAGGGCATTCAGAGCACATGCATTTTCTTGAGGTTCTATGGATCCTTCTTTGGGGAAGAGGGAGAGCATCTTGGGGTGGGATGAGGGCAATTCGAAGAGGGAGAGATTAGGGATGACTGAGTGCACCTAACCTGAGAGAAGGCACCACCACTGGCTGTAACATCTGTGTGGAAAGCTGGGTCAGCTGCTCAGTAGAGAAAAGTGGGGAGGGGGGACTGGGTTGGCTTCTTGGAGAGAGGGCCCCCAAGGGAGTCTGGGTGACCTCTTAGAGAATACCTGGTGTTCCCAAGCAGAATGGGCAGGCCCAAGCCCCTTACCCTCTGGGCCTCCTTAAGGAGAAAAAGGCATTCAGGAAACCTCCTGGCAGAGTTATTCCTTAAGGCACAGCTAGGAGCAGACCAGGCACTGAGTGCCACATTGCACATTGAGGACACATTTCCCCATTTTTCCAATGGGGAAAGAAGATCTGAGAGCACAGTTAATTTGTGACTCACAAAGATATGAACCAACCGCTGAATTCTAACAGAAAAAGCTGAGAAGTCAAAATTTCAAAGCGTTCTCACCTTTAGCTTCTGAGGCATAGTCCTTGAGTTGCCAAAACATTATGTCCAGAGGTTACCACCGTTGATGGCCCTGAGAGCTTTAGCAGGCACTTCTTGAGCTGTCCACTGCAGTACCTGTCACTTGAGGTAGCGCGTGGCATAGATCTGCTTGGTCAGGACCTGGCCCTGCAACTTGAGGCATTGCAGGCTTCCAGGCGGGGCTCTCAGATCCTTCTTGGTACCTACCAGGAGGATGGGCAACCTCTGGATGCCACTTGTGCTGCATGGTCTTTTAAGAGGGTGGACTGGCCATGGAGAAATAGGTGACAGAGGTGTTGGTTTGAGGGTAGGAGCATGTGCAGGGGCTGTTGTGCTCCAGACCTGGGGTATCCCACAGGTTCAGGTTCACTGGGCATCCATTAACAGTACTCTGGGTGCTTAATTATTGAATCCTGGGGGGTGCATTCCTTGGAGAAGGCATTAGGTATGTAGTAGATGAGCAGGCACATTCTGAACGTCTTGAGCTGTCACCCACCAGCACACACATGATGCTCTGCATGGGGGTGCAACTGCCATGGGGCAGGTGATGCCACCTCCTCTTCCAGGCCCCTCTGGATGCAGTGACCTAGAGTGCCCTCACTGCTGGGGGATGCTCTCAGATCTTACTGACCAGGTTTTTGACTAAACACATCTGGCTATAAAATGGCAAGCCAAGCGTCTTTGAGAGGAAATAGTTTATGTGTTTTGCTATGTAGAGAGAGAGAGACTAATTAGCAGAGTCATATTGCAATAAACAACTGTTTTTCATAAATAATATGGGTGGTAATGTCCTCAGAAGAGAGTGGGAATGGGGCCTCTCAGTCTGATTTCACCCTCCATCAACACAGGGGATAAGCTGGGAGCAAGCCAGCTGCTGCTCACTGCTCTAACAGCTGGGAATGGGAGGGGTGGACGAGAGTCCCTGCTCCCGGCCAGGAAAGGGCTCTAGTCAGGATAGAAGAGGACTCCATGAGTGGGGCAGTCGGGGATGGGAGGGGAGTTTGGTAGGGTCTGTTAGTTGCAGGTTGGCAAAAGAACAAGAAAAGAGAGCTCCAGGAGACCTCTCTGGGCGTGAGAGACTTTTGCTGAGGTGCTAGGGCCAGGGGCCTTTAAGACTTTAGGACTGGTGGGCCTCCCTGGTGGCTCAAGGGGTTAAGAGGCAACCTATGAAACTGTCCACAGCCATTGCAGCACGAGTTCGATTCCTGCCCAGGGAGCTACCCACATGGCACAGCAGACCTCTCCTGACTCGCCTGCTGCTCCCCTCAGTAGTGTATTTCAGTCAACCTGCCTGTTCTGCTCCCCACTCTATCTTTGGTGAATCCTCTCACCCCCCACACCCACACCTCTGTTTTGTACCCCAGTTCTTGTATGCATAAATAAATCGTTTAAAAAAAAGACTTGAGGGACTGGAGTTTGAGACTAAAGGGATTGAACTTTATAGGCTGAAAAGTCAAGGAGATTGGGCTTGGCTAGGGTCCATTTGTCATTGCGGGCACCAGGCAGCTGGAGCCTTGCGGTCATGCAGGGCTTGTGACTGTCTCTAAGGCGAGCATCTCACGGAGGCTGTGTGCATGCAGCTCCAGTGTGAACTAACTGGTCTGGTCCCAAGGCCTGTGACTCTTTCTTTTGGGTCTGCAACTCCCTTTTCTTCCCATACCAGCCAACTTGATAAGTGGTGGGAAAATAGCTCAGAAGTGGTTAAAAAAAAATACAAAAAAACAAGTCAAGGAAATTTATGGCATTCGGTGAGTGGGTCTAAAGTCATCAGGGTTTTTCTTTTTTATTTTTTTTTTAAACTTTTGTTTACCAGCTCATGGGAACAGCAAAATTTTACAAAATTTTGTCCTTAAGTCCTGTCCTACCCTTGTCTTGGGACCCTTTCTGTCACAGAAGCACCTTTGCTACTGATGTTTTCTAAAACAAAATCAAAGTCCTCTTTAACCATTTCCCCTGAACTTTTAGCAATAAACTGATCTTGGTTTGGATTTTCACAAGAGAGTGACTTTCACAATAGAATGTTTTTTTTGAGGGGAAAAAATGTTGACTTGTCAGCTGTGAAGACAAACTGGTACTGAAGTTTTCACTTTAACACAGACCAAGAGTATTTGATTCTGTGTTTCCACCCATTATGCCCCACACTTAACAGGTGCTCAATAAAATGTTTACTCAGCAGGACAAGGGTATTTATTAGTAACAATTTCTGTTCCCTGTAATTTTGAGAAATGATGAATTTAGAGCCCAAGTTATTTATTTCAATTTCTTTTTGTCTCAGGGAAAGAAGGGTTTTAATGGATTACCTGGACATCCTGGTGAGGAAGGTGGACATGTAAGTACTGACTCTTGTTTTTTCTCTGAAGGTATATGATGACATGGGTCAAATCTTCGCAATACATAATTGCACTTAAATCATGAATGTTTTTCCTCATCTATATTATTTTAAGTGCATTTCAGTATCTCTGTAAACATGACCATTTATTATAACAAAAAGGCAGGTGATCAAATTTTATAAGATAAAGACTTTTAGAAGGTATCATATGATGAACTGTGGTCATTTTATTGTTTAATCAATGAATTTGAGACTCCTGAAAATGTGGTTATTGTCTAAAGTACATGCATGTAATAATAACTGCTAATTGTGAGCTAATTTATGTGTCTTTTGTTACTATTTATGAGGTAGCCATGTCAGCAAATAGTTTAACAAAAATGAATTGGAGAGAGGGCCTCCCTGGTGGCGCAGTGGGTTGAGCGCAGCGCTGTGAAGCTGTCTGCAGCCTCTGCAGTGCGGCAGACCTCTCCTGCTCCCCTCAGCAGTGTTTTCCATCATCTACCTGTTCTGCTCCCCACTCTATTTCTGGTGAATTCTCTCACCCTCCTGTACCTCTGACCTGTACCCCAGTTCTGGTATAAATAAATAAAAATATCTTTTTAAAAAAAATTTAAAAAAGAATTGGAGAGAATCAAAGGTTATTTTTATTAGCGGGTCACTTAGTTGACTTCCAGAAATGCAAACATGCTGGTGTTATAGTCACATACCCATTGTCTGCATATAACCTTGCTATGTCCCCAGGCATGTGCTGGCCAAAGGAAAGTTATTTCTATCATATGGTTTTGGAGAAACATGTATGTCATAGACAGAGGTGCTAGATAGGGGACTGGCTGCGGTAGGGACTCTCTTTTCCACATCATATAAATACCAAAAGGTTGAAAAAGCCCCTTCGTTTTCAGTTAATTGTAAATTTTGGGAGACCACAGGCGTCAATTTTAAAGCTGACTAGTGTATTCCACAGTTCTTAGCCCTCTGTGCCTCAGCATATTTTATACTCTCCAGTTTTCTATCTGTTGATATGTACCACATTAGAAATTTTAGAGAATTCTCATTTATTTGTTCTGAAATAACAAAATAAACCTATGATATGTTCACATAAATGACATAATCATTTATGAAAAATAATTCTGTTTTCCACAACAGATTATCTTAGTGAGAAGAGTGGCACTGTTTCACATGGTTTCAAATGTCTTTATGCCAGACTTATTAGCTGCATTCTTGTATCTGCTTCTGTATTCAGTCTCGTGTGCTATCTGTGACCTATTGAAAATTCTGCTGTACGCTTGGGAGAGAACGAGAGTTAAAATAGAAAATAGCATTTTAGTGTAACTGGAAAAGTACTTTAAACTTCGTGAGCACCTCTTCCCAAAGGGTTTTGTGCACTGGAAGGACCCTCACCAGCTTTTTGAAGGACTGATACATACAAGCATTCATGTTCTCATTGCTCCACTTAGGCTAGCACGTTGTTTTATTATTCCGAACATTCAGGCTGTCTGAACTTGGACAATAAGCAGCATTTAAAGAAAGATGTGTATTTCACACTTGCAGCAAGTATCAGTTTGGATTTCATTCATTTTAAATGCTCAGTGGCCCTGTGTGCCCCAGTCGTGGCTACTGTATCTGGCAGATAAGCCTCACCAGGACTCATTTTCTTTTTATTGTATTTCTTACAAGAGATGGTGACTTTAAAATACGCTGTCCTCTTAATGTCATTTCCCTGCAAAGCAGGTCAGATTGTTCTGCTCAATGTCAGATAGCTGCTTAAATGGAAGAGTTTTGGAATAGGGCCCAGGATTTGTAGGTTCAAGTTGAATGTATATAAGGAAAAATAACTAGCTCATGTGCCAGTTATGAATTACCATACCCTCCACCCCACGAAACAGGCAAAAAAAAAAAAAAATCCCACAGGAAAACAGCCCTTGTTGATATAAAGCAAATAACCGTCTATTCCATCCCGAGACTGTGGGTGAGGAACCTGACAAGGGACGAGCAGGGAGCTCTGTACTCTGGGGCGTCCACTGGTCTGATTAGGCCCCGTGGCCGAGAGGGCTCATTGCAGTGATGGCTTCCTCTCTCTTGAGCCTGCCACTCCTGAGACCTGGCCCAGCTGGAGCTGTGTGGGGGCTGTGTCTAAGAGGGAGCACCCCACATAGAGGTCAGTTCTGAGAGTGAGCATTCAGGAGACTGAGGCTGAAGTTGCTAGGTCTCTAGAAGAGCAGCGTTAGGAGCCAGGCAGTAAGTTGTCTGTCACATTCTACTATCATTGAGTCACTGGATTCTGACCAGATTCAAATTGGGTTCTTCCTCTTGACAGAGGAGTGGCAAGGTCTACAGTAGAAGAATGTGGAGACTTTGTGGGGACCATCTTTGGAAAATACAGTCTATCAGATGCATGAATTTTACATAATTTCAAAATGTATGTATTGTATGAGATGTTGTTTTAAGTATTCATTGGTTACACATCAAAGCCTTAGTTATAAATCAAATAGTCAGATTACCCAAGGTAATCTGACCCAAGGTCACCAAATATAGTTAGATACTGTCATTAGTCACAGCTAACATTTGTTGAGAACTTCTTGTGCGCAGGGCTAACATTTTATATATTTTTCCTTCCGTCTACATAATAAGATACTATTGTTATAATTTGTCCATGGTTGTTATTGCTGATTTGAATGGGTTGGATGGTGATACAATTATTTGTCTGTCTCCATGTGTATCTTCCACAGGGAGAGAGGGGTCCCCAAGGTCTTCCTGGACTCCAAGGTGAGGAAGGATGCCCAGGTATGAGAGGACCTAAGGTGAGTATGACCTTGAGCTGCATGACATCTCTGTTTTATCCCAAGTTCGTGGAGAATCATAATTCTTCAGCATAGCTATAGCATCTTAGCTCTTCTCTGACTGAGGGTTTCCTGCAATTATTGTCTGAGAAAAGGTATCAAGTGCAGATAGTTGACTGAGAGGTGTACTCAGTACACACTGGTGCGTGAGTAGGGTGGTTAGACAGGGAGGGAAGGTGACCTCAAAGAGATGTGCGTTGTCCATTAGCTTTTCACTGTGGTTAGACATAGCTTACCTGCTGAGAACCTCTGGGAGCTCGTGAAACATGCTCTCCAGTGTTATCCCTCTTGAGGGTGTGAACTGGGGTATTCTTACACCAAATCCTGTTGCCCTAGGAGCCATCAACTCCCCGTCCTCTCCTGTGTGGAGTAGAGCAAACTCTGGTCCCAGAAAAAAATCCCTGGGAAGAGAGTGAGCTTGAGAACACTGAAACTGTAAAGGCTAATGGGATCGTGATGAAGTCTCCATTTAGAGTGGTTGCATTCAATGCCTCTCAACCTTCCAGGATTAAAGAATCTCCTTTAAAAGCCAGAAATTATGTTCTACAGCCTCACAGTCCTTGAAAGAGTTTTTTGGATCACAGGGACTATGTTTTGTATATTGTAACAAGCTGTTCCTTCAGTTAGTTTGCCCTGTTGCTCCTGGATTCCCTTTCCCGCTTGTCAGGAGAAAACGTGATTGTTATAATATGTGACAAGTCACTGCTGTTTCCTGCTCACCCCTACTGTGTGAGCAGATAGTTGCAAGGTGCAAAGGGGAGGGGGTAGTAACCAGAGTGCTATGATGTCCATTTAGTCATCAGAGAAGAAATCTTCATTTAGATCTAATAATTGCATTTTCTTCAAATTAGGGAATGTATGGTTTCCTAGTGAAACACTGGTTGAAAAGTCTCATTCATTTCCAATTCTTTTTCTTTTTTTGATTTTAGGGAGTGAGGGGATTTTCAGGAGAGAAGGTAAGTGATCATCTTTATTCTTCCTAATCTGGAGAACAGTTTCTTTGGGAAACAATACTGAGTTCTGTTGCTTTTCCTTTGCTTAAGTGAGGTCAGTCTTAAAACTTTAAGACCCCGGAAGGTGTCAGATGGTATTCACAGCCAAACTGTCCTGCTAATGAACAGCTCTCTTTAAGACATGCAGTTGAGATTCAGTGCAGGGATGTATATTATAATTTTCAAGCCTGACTAGCTCTTTGATCATTAAGCCACTGATTTATCGCTTGGTATGGAAGAGTTGGTCCTGATTTCAGGTTGCGGTAGGAAGGTGTGGTCAAGGTAGAGTTCCAATGAGAGAGGGACATTAGGACAGGACTGGTGAGAGAGGAGCTGGCGCCATAAGGGAATGACTGGATGTTCCATTAAGAAGTAGAGTATCCATTTACTCAATCAATTCATTCAAAACATTTTTTTTAGTTCTCTACATTATCCTAGGGAATGGTTGCACAGTGGTAACAGCCCAGGTGTGGGCTGGTAGAGCTGCTTTACGCTTGTCTTCTGGGACCACTGATTCACCACTGATTCACCCTGGGACTGGTGGCACATAGCTCATGAAATTTGAGTCCAGAGTTTGGTATCCTTCTTTTCTTTTCTTTTTTTTTAAAAGATTTATTTATTTATTTATACAAGCACTGGGTACAGTCAGAAGCACGGGAGGGTGAGAGAATTCACCAGAGCCAGAGTGGGGAGCAGAACAGGCAGATTGAAATACACTGCTTAGAGGAGCAGCAGGTGCGGCAAGAGAGGTCTGCGCACCATATGGCACCCTCACCGGCTGGCTGGGGATCGAACCGGTGCTGCAGAGGCTGCAGGCACCTTCGCAGCCCAGCGCTCAACATGCTGTGCCACCGGGGAGGCCCATATTTGCCACTCTTTTTAAATGTAAACAGGTCCATCCTTAGCACACTGACAACCAGAAGCAAATGTTTCTTTCAGTTTTGTGAGAGCTACTTGTTCCCAGTGCAGATGTCTGAAAAAAAGTCTTCCGGTCCATTCAAAATTAGAGTTTATTTTTTTCCTTATCTTTCTCATTAGCATCCGAAAGTGTCAAGAAAAACAGTATATAATGTTAATGACTATTTCAAGAAGGAAATAATCGTTGTGTTTTAATAGTTGAATGCTATATATAAATGTTGATTTGGAAGGTCTAGATTCTTCTGTCAATTGAAAAAAATATTAGGAAGGACATAAACATCAAAGCATTGATAACCATGTACACCTGCTCCTCTTGTCTCTGACAGTCTCATTTTCCTTTACTCCACAGGGTGACCCTGGTGAGGAAGGTCTTGATGGCTTGAATGGAGAACAGGTACAGAAAGTCTCTCGTTCTGTGTTTTTTTCCCTCCCTCCTATTTGGGCATTTATAATGTTGATTTCTACTTGTCATGGTTTATTTAGAAATTTTAAGATGCATACTCAACAATGTCTAAAGTTAATCTGTATGTTTGCCCTTGTCACCAAAATATAAGGACCCTAGAAACTTAGCTTTAATCAGCCTCCTCCCATCTTATATATTATTGTCTAGTATTTTATTTCTGCTTTTTTGGGTTAAATTCTACCATTTAGGCATTGTTATTGTAATTGTCGTTTTTAGTCATACTTAACTAGCTTTACCCTTGGATTATTATCACTGATGACTTGAAAAGAACACGAAAAGATCGTGTTTCTGTTGCCTAAGGTACAATGCCTTTGGTTTTTGTTTCTCTGAAATCTATTTTACATTTTTCTTAAAAAATGGTTTTGGGTAAAAAGTGTTTCTTTAAGTAATTTGAAAGTGTAATTTCATACTCTTCTGGCTTATATTGTCTTTTTTCTTTCATTATTGATGCTAAGATGTTATCAGTCAAAATAATTGTGCCTTTGTCAGCAGTCTTTAAAAAAAATCAGTCTACTTTAAACATTTCCTTGTTTTTAGTTTTCTGCAGTTTCAGTAGGATGTATCTAGCTGTAGATTTCTTTTTCATTTCACCTGTTTTTGATTTATCAGGCTTTTGAATCTGAGTATTTGTGCCTTCTGTCAGTTTTGGAAAATCCTTAGCAAATTATCATTTTGAAATTTGTATCTTTCCTATGTTCTCTTTTATCTCTTTCTGGAAGTCTGAACAGAAAGTGCTACCTTCTCGCTCTTTCCTCAGTGTCTTTTTACCTCTTTCATTTACTTTGTCTTTGTCCTTGTCTTGCTGCATTGCACTCTGAATATTCTCTCCAGTGTCTAGTCCACTGATCCTTAGGTCTCTTTTGTTCAATATGCAATTTAACTTGTTAATTGGAGTTTTTATTTCATTTTTTTCTAATTTTCACTTCAACAAGTTCCACTTGATTGTTTCTCCAGTCTGCTTGGTCTTTTTTTTTTTGCCTGATTTGTAATCATTTTTTTTAACTTATTTAAATATATTAACTGTACTAATTTTGTATTCTGTTACATTAATTCCAGTAACTAAGTCATTGCAAGTTTGATTTCATTGTCTATTATTTGTGCTGACTTCCTTTCCTGGTGTATTTTTCAGGGCATCTATTCTGTTGCATAGTTAGAAATAGAATGTGAAAGAAATTTTCTATTCTTGACTAGAATGTGAAACTGTATGAAAAAAGTATCTGGTAGAACTAATATAACAAAGATTCTTTGCATACTTATTTTTTCTTTTTCTAGGGTAGTCGTGGTGTCCCAGGGTCACTTGGAGAAAAAGGAAATACGGGAAATCGGGTAAAGTATGAGAAATCACTCATGTTTCTACTGCATAAACTGACCTTGACAGTTTATTCATAAGCTCTGGGAAAGAATCAGCTAGTGGTTTAAGTTCTAAATTAGGAGTTAAAGGGCAGTAAATATTAAAGGGATCTTTGCGGGACAATGAGAAGTACAGTCTGGCTGGGAAGGACACTTCTTGACTGAAAAGTAAAGGATGTGGTTACAAGCCTTGGGTAGGAGACTAAGTTCTCAGAGACGGAGCCATGAAAAGTTTTTGTAAGAGACAAAAGGCTAAGTAACTTGGTTCACATTACTCATTTCCCATAAGGTAGAGTCAGACCTTCATTTAAGGTTGCAAATAGTCACTTCTGCCCTTTCTACTGAGTTATCAGACACTATGGAAAGTTTCAGGCAAAGGGGACACATGTTCAAAGCTACAGGTTTGGCAGATGACTCCTGAAGCCAGTGTCTAAGTCAAAGAGGGAGAAGAAATTGGGCAAATCACAATAGCAGCCATATGCCAGGCTTTGCACTCAGTATTTTAATTCTTACTCCATTTAATTCCTTTACATCTGTTTCACAAATGAGAAAATTACATCTTCAAAGAAATTTTCCTAACTGGTAAGTGAAGCAGCAAGATTGGAATTGAGAATGAACTCCCTCTCACCATCCTGTTAGGTCAAGGATAGATTAAGGAGAAGGCGCAAGTAACATCATGAGGAGGCTTCTTCGGGAGCCTGGAGAATATTCCATTTCCATGTGTCTGAGACCCCTATCTCAGCAGACTCCCCCTTCAGTGCTCTTAGAGTGTGGGATATATACCTGCCTTCTCAATCCCTAGAAGCAGGTACATGACATCAGCTGAGGTGGGATCCTTAATGACAGGTTTTAAGATATAACCATTTGCTTGTCATCTCTGGTTCTCTGTCTGCAGCAGTCAGGAACTCAGAAAGAATTTATTCTCTTTTCTCCTCTTTTCCATGAACTCTTTCTCGGTTCATGCTGCCCATGGCTTTGATGGAGAAAATCTTTTTTTTCTTACATGTGTCTCTGTGTGGAAAGATCAAGGGATTTGGTGGTGGGTGACCTGGCTCCAACTTTCCTGAGCCTCAGGTGCTAGTAGGGTAATTCCTGAGTTGTGAAGGTTAAATGACATCATGCACACCCCTGACCAAGCATATTGCAGATTTTCAATTGAAAGTATGTTCTTTTTTGTGTCTCAAACTTCTATAGCAACAAGTGCTTTAAAGTCCAAGTGCTAGACTGTTCTTTTAATTTGGTGTTCATTTCCCTTGTAATGTTCTCTTCCCTTTAAGGAATAGACAGTTTTAAAAAGTAACACTTTTTTTTTTTTTTTTGGTGTGTGTGTGTGTGTGTGTGATTTAAGGGCTTGGCAGGACCGCCGGGACAACCTGGAGAATATGGGGAGCCTGGACTGAGGGGTGATCCTGTGAGTTTTTGGTTGAGGGATTTCTGCTATTTTAATACAGGGACCTATGAACTGTTTGCTGTAGCACGGGAAAAAGAAAGCAACTGATCAGTAATGAGGCATCTGTTCAGACTCTCTCAGAATTGCAACAAATAAGAAATTTGAGCAAGAACTTACAGGAAACTTGGGTGCTTAACAAGTTTGGAACTTTAATTGCATAGGATATTTGGGATTTCTGAACAGACCAAGGCAAAGAAAGGGTTGATATTCTTTCTTTTTTTTTTTAAAAGGTCATTTTGTAATTCCTTTCTTTTCTGTCCATTTGAGATAAGCAATCTTTTATTTTCTCAGGGGAATCCTGGAGTTGATAGTTACATCCCAGGTCCTAAGGGAGAAAAAGGAAGGCGTGGACTTCAGGTAAGATGGTCTCTGTCTTGGAGACACTGGTGCACGTGGAAACAGGTACTAACTGGTGCCTAGAAGGTGGACACTAGCGAGACCTGTGGGCTCCCTTGTCCATAGAGGCAGGAGCTCTGAGTGCTGACCCCTATTCATATCCCTGTGCTTGCATTAGATTAAAAATTCTCCCATTTTATAATGATGTCTTGATTTGAAAGCAGCTTAGGGTCATTACACTTCTGGCTTTTTTTCTGTCACTGCCAGTGTTGATAGATGTGAATCAGGTACTTACCTGCTTAGCATTTTTTAAGAGAAGATCCTTGTCTAGCTCTCTACTAGAAATGTCATGACAGAGAAGACACCACAGAAGGAAAAAGACTTGTTTATCTAACAGATATTAATATGTCAGAAACCATTTTTAGATTTTTATGTCCCAGGCATTAAAATTTATGACTTCTTACAAATTATTAAAATAACCCAAGTGCTCTGTCCTCACAGCTCATCATTCCCAGTTTTCAGGAATGAGGTGTGTGTGGCAAGATGTATATAACTTTGAACTCCTCTTTCACATTTATGTGTGATTTTGACAAAATCTTAGGACAGTGGTTCTTCTCCCCAAATTGAACTTAGGTATCGTCCATTTTATATATTCAGATCCTGAATAAAATTCACTTTGTAACAAGAGAGTTATTGCACAGTCGTCTTGACTGTGGGAGAATCTTTCACCCTGTTGTTAATTACAGTTGTCTTGGACAGACTCCATTCAGAGGGCTCCCTTTGTGACTTGAGGTCAGAAAGCCCTGTGAATTGCCATGAACTCAACTGTAGGATTGAGCTAACAGATCAGAGGGTCAGCAACTGTTAACTCATTTGAACTCCATTTTTCTCATCTGCATGTAAGGTGGGAAGATTAGAGAAGTCATTTCAAAGTTTCTATGAGTTTGTCGTCATGAAAGGTCACGATTTCGGTATACCCGGAGATTTGGTTTCACGGTTTGCTTGTGGCTTTAATCCTGGGAAGGAAGCCAGGCCACTAGACAGACTGTCCAATGCTTTGTTCATCACCAACCAGCCCCGCGCTCACAGCTTTCAGAGCTCTCTATCAGGCCTTAGTTATAACCTTGGACATCAAATCCCCGAAGTGTGAGTGCAAACAAAAATTGTCATCTGAGGAGATGCCATGGCTTACTGTATTTGTGTTCCTATACATGAGCTCTACTCCCATGCAGGGTTCAAAGGAGGGTACTAAGTATTCTGGCAATAGATTAGGATAACTTAGAAGCCACTGCATAGGCTTGTTGCTGGTGGATGCTGAAATTCTGGACTAAGTGCTATGAGAAGATTGCCCTCGAGGGGGCAGCCTTTCCTTGGGATTAGTTTTGAGCGGACCCAAAAGAGCAGATTAAGATGTTGCAGTTTGGATGGAGGAGCCCTGATGAACAGAAAAGCTTTATTAAATACCTAGCACTTCATACCTCAGGAAGGAGTGGAAAACTGTTCATGCTTTCATACTTCCAGGGTGAAAGAAATCCAATACAACATTTTTTGGAAGGCAATGAGGTAACAAACTATATATATCAGTGAGGACTGTTGCTTTTTGTTTTTTAATATACAGGCTGCAGAAAGCCTGAGTAGCAGTGTTTAGCTAAGAAGTGTTTTCCATAATCTAGAGATAGGCCATTCTGGGTTGGGTACATCAGTTCTGTGATGCACGTGATGTCCTTAGGGCATAGCTCCTTGCCCTCAGAGATACTATTCTCAGTATGTGCAGGCAGGGGTAGAGAATAAATCCCGAGGTGTTTATGCATCTAAACCAATCTTCCCTTCACCTCTTACTTTTCAGGGACGTTCAAGTTTTGATGGGCTTCAGGGGAAAGCAGGAGATGTTGGCCCTCAGGTAGGTATAACCTCTCTTGGGATGAGGTAGGTAGACTGGGGTGAAAATTTGCTTGTTTCCTCATCTTAGGTCTCTGTTTCCCTTCTATTCTCAGGGATCAAGAGGAAGACGAGGTCAGCTGGGGTTGAAGGTTAGTGCTTCCTGAAAAGCTTCTTGTTCCACATATACAGTTACTTTAAATAGTTCTTTTGAAGCCAGGGGGAGTGCTGGTTAGACTGTCCAGGGTTGCAAGGGGGTCACTGGGAAGTTTCTATGGGGACCCTTTCCGTGAAGAAGCAAAAGTTTATGTGCTGCTGCTTCTGCTCTTTCTCCAACTTGTAATAGTTCACTTAGAGTGAAAAGAAGCTAATAGCTCAGAGAAGGGCTTACACCTCTGATATAACGATCTTTCCACAAAAAGAAGCAGAACCTCATGGGTTCATAGGGGATCTCACTAAATGAAGGAAAAGATTGAATTCTTATATGTACAAAGGGAATGTGATTTGAGGGTAGGATGGAGTATATTTCTGTGAAGGAATCATGTTTTATCAAGTATTTATCTAACACCAGTCGCTGTGCTAGATGTTTATAATTGTATCACTTCATGTAAATCTTTCCAAACGCAAGGAGTTTTGCACATCATTTGGTTATTTAATTTTTTTTTGATGAGAGGAAATACAGGTTTAGCAGAGTGAAGTTACTTGTCAAGGGCCATAACGACTATCAGTTGGTGGAGACAGGATTCACATCCAGTGGCAATGATGTTTTTGGAAATTTTCATACAAATGAACAATTAAATTCATTTATAGAGCCTTCCCTCTGACATATTCTGGTCATATTCTGCTGGTATTTCTATTCTCATGACTTAGGGATGGAGAAGTCAGAGATTGACTTATATCTGTGTCAGAGAGTATGTGTGTGTGTATGTGGGAGGGGACAGTGGCCTCCAACATACAAAAGAAGATGGGACTCCTGTGACTTCAAACGAGACGTGTTGCAAAGGCAGGTTATTGAGAAATTCCAAGCCTCAAAAATCTAAACAAGTTTTGTTGACATCAAATGAAATATTTCCCATAAAATGTTAGGATTTGAAATCAGTTCTTTAATATTTTCTTATATCATTAATTCAGTTTTAAGACATGTGAAATAAACAGTGCCTCAAATTATTTTATCCCTTTGTTTTTATCCTAAAAGAGGCAGAAAGAGGCTCAAGTTGACTAGACTAAGTTTGGAGAAATTAAATGGTTCTAGGAAGTGGAAGGAATTTCCTACTCTTGAGTTGTTTAATTCTTTTATTTCGGTTGAATCAGAGCTAGGCCTGTATTACCTTTAAAGTCAAGTTGCACTAGCAAAGCTATAATGAAAGCGGTTTTCCTCCCCACTCTCCTGCTCCTGCTCCCCAGCTGTCCAGAAGTATCCCTCACCTTGGTCTCCTTGGGCTATCCCTCTGGACCCGGGGCCATTTTCACAAACAACAAGGTAGCTTTATGATTTCTGGGTTTTCAGTTTGTGATGTTTTCTATTGATCTTAGTATGGGGGATAAAGACATTTTTAACCTGCCCTCCTCTTTCCATACACTTTCTTCCAATTTATCCTTAAAATACACTTATTTTCTCCACTTTTGGCTAAATCAGTCCTTTTTTCATGTGATGACTTGGTAAATGTCATTTTCAGCCAAGCAGCTTTTGTTCTCCCTGAGTCATCCTTCCCCCGTTTGTTCTGTGTTCAGTGTGCTGGTTTCTAGGTCATCACAAAACTCTTTGAAAGTGCTAGTAGTCTCCCTCCCAGTGAATTCAAACGTGTGAGGGTTATTGCTCCTGGATTCCTCCTGAACCTCTGGTCTTCCTCTAAACCAGATTGCTTTCTGGGCTTCTGCACTGTGGCCACTGGCATAGATTCTGGAACTGCAGCTTCTTTCTTTGGGAACAGAGAAAATGTGTGTAAATTGCCATCTTTAACAGGAATGCTCTCCCTAATTTAATACATTGCAATCTTCATGAATCCTAGTAGTTGTTTTCTCTTGTTTATGATTTGATTTTTTTAAATGAAAGATAAAGTCATTTGCTCACTCCGAGGTAAACTGGCTCTATCTAGCATGTCAGCAGTTCACTAGTGAACCCCAACTTTGGAGAACTGGTCATGTGGACTCATTCATATTTTCTGGGTTTTGGGGGAAGGATAAAATATATGTAACATAAAATTTACCATTTTAGCCATTTCTGATTATACAGTTTAGTGACAGTAAACATTTTCCATGGTTTTCCAACCATTATCGCTGTTCTCAATTATAAAGAGTCTTAAAATAATGTTATTGTCGATCGTCTTCATGATGTAATTACATCTCCATGACTAACTTAATGTATTTTAAAACTTGAAGTTTGTACTTCGTGATCTTTTCAGCCATTTTGCCCACCCCCCACTCCCTTCCTCTCTGGCAACCACCAGTTTGTTCTCTGTGTCTATGAGTTTTGTTTCGTTAGTTCTTCATTTGTTTTGCTTTTCATGTTCTACATATAAGTGAAATCATAACTGTTTTTGCTTTTTTCTGTCTGCCTTATTTCCCTTAGCACAATGGCCTCAGGTTTTATCTATGTTGTTGCAAATGGCAAGATTTCATTTTTACAGCTGTATAAATACTCCATTATATATGTATACACACACAGGTATATATAGAGGCTTAGGTTGTTTCCATATTAGATATTGTAAATAATGCTGCAGTAAACATAGGGATGCTTGTCTTTTTATTTTATTTTTTATTTTTATTATTTTTAAAGATTTATTTATTTTATACAAAAACTGGGGTACAGGTCAGAAGCGTGGGAGGGTGAGAGAATTCACCAGAGCCAGAGTGGGGAGCAGAATAGGCAGACGGACCGAAGACACTGCTGAGGGGAGCAGCGGGCGCGGGAGGAGAAGTCTGCTGCGCTATGTGGGATTCTTCCTGGCCAATGGGGAATTGAACCCACGCTGCAGAGGCTGCAGACAGCTTCGCAGCGTGGCGCTCAACCACTGCACCACTGGGGAGGCCCAATGTTTCTTTTTAAAAGAATTAGTGTTCTTCAGCTAAATAATAGAATTATAATTGCTAGATCATACAGTGTTGTGTTTTTAAGCTTTTGAGGAGCCTCCATATAGTTTTCTTTACGTCTGTGCCCATTCATCATTCTACCTCTGTGCACGAGGGCCCCTTTTTCTCCACATCCTCGCCAGCACTTGCTGTTTCTTGTCTTTGTATGTAGCTCTTCTGAAGGTGTGATGTGATACTTCATTGTGGTTTTAATGTGCTCTTCCTCATTTACATTCTAGAAGGTCTAACTTGCTAAAGATTAACCCATTGAAAGAAGTGCTAAATTCTGATAGATGGCATACCTTGGTCTTTGGGAAAATACGGCTCATTACTGTCTATAGAATTAGCTATGCTGGCATTCATAAGATTTTTTTATGGAAACGATACTATGGCCAAAAAATCAATGTGTAAAATATTTCAACCCTATGGCAAAACTTTAAATTTGTTAATTATGATAAAATTAAAAAATCATTAAAAATTTAAGTGCCCATAAATCCATTACTCTCCAGGAATTATTTTCCTGTTTGTGTGTTTCTTTTACTTTTTACTTGCATACATCATAAAGGGAACCATAATGTATGTGCTGTTCTATGTTCTGCCTTCCTAAGTTTTCAAATCTTCCTATTGTCATTGCAACACATTATATCTTACTCTGTTGAAGAACAGTGATTTATTAAACTATTCTTATGTTGAACATTTAGGTAATACTTATTTAATTAGATATCGTGGTCAATGATGTAATGAAACATTAGGTTTTTTTTTTTTAAGATTTATTTATTTATGCATACAAGAGCTGGGGCACAGGCCAGAGGTGTGTGTAGGGGTATATGTGAGAGGATTCACCAGAGACAGAGTGGGGAACAGAACAGGCAGACTGACTGAAATACACTGCTGAGGGGAGCAGCAGGCGAGACAGGAGAGGTCTGCTGCACCATGTGGATTGCTCACTGACCAGGGATCCAACTCGTGTTGCAGAGGCTGCGAATTGCTTCATAGTGTGGTGCTTGACCCCTTGCCCAACCAGGGAGGCCCAAAACATTGTTTTATATATTTCTTATTTTGCTCTTGCTTTTGCTTTGCTGAAGTGATTTCTTTAATAAAAACACATAGACCTGGAGTAACAGCAAAAGAATCTGAGCTTTGCTGTGTGGAGCCACATTGTTTCCCTAAGTGGGACACTGTGATTGTCACTAATGTGATGTGCAAATTAGACAGCATTTCTCAGTCTGTTTACAAATTTCCAGCTCCGTGCCTTTCCAAATTTGGGTCACATTTGTAAATCTAGACATCACTGAGGTGACACTGGGGTACCCCACCGGGTATTACCAACATAGTGCACCCACCACTGACTCACCCATGTTCTACCGCCATGGACCATTGTGCTCCCTCTGTCTTTGTTCTTGTCCCTTCTGCACCTTAGTGTGTTAGCCCCGGTAAGGGCTCCTCCATATCCTAAGAGGAGCCTTTATAAAGAACGAATGGACTTTTTTTTTTTTTTAAAGATTTATTTATTTATACAAGCACTGGGTACAGTCAGAAGCGCGGGAGGGTGAGAGAATTCACCAGAGCCAGAGCGGGGAGCAGAGCAGGCAGAAGGACCGAAGTATACTGCTGAGGGGAGCAGTGGGCATGGCAGGAAAGGTCTGTGCGCCATGTGGGACCCTCGCCGGCGGCCAGGGATCGAACTGGTGCTGCAGAGGCTGCGGGCAGCTTCGCAGCCCAGTGCTCAACTGCTGCGCCACCAGGGAAGGCCCCACATGGACTTTTAAAAGTGGTCATTGTGTAAAGTAGGCGTTTAGATTATTTAAACCAAGTATTTTTGCTTCCATCATTAGGTGAAACACTGGAAGGAGATGCACACAGACTGAGAAAGACCATAATAATCTTGTCTTGAATTTTCCCCCAATTAAATGGGACTTTTCCCTTTTCTGTAGTCAGCTAGCAAAGGTTAGTTTTTCAGCTTGTCTTTATCTGACTGTTAATTTGGTTACTTTATATTCCACATATTAGTGACACCATCTGCTTCTTAGAAGAGCAGACTAATAGAACTGTAATGATTATTACGAGTGCTTCCCATTTCTTTGAATAGTTTAAAAATACTTAAGAAGCACAAGTAATTAATCTACCTATTGATTAACTCTGAACTCAAGGGTTTTTTTCCTACTATTTGCAAATCTGTGAACAATCAGTTCACAAATGGGAATACCAAATGGGTATCCTCAGTCTTGGAAAATATATCTTTTATTTAGGAATGAAGATACTAATTTGAGAGGGAAATTAAATTAGCTACCAGATGAATCATATGAACAGCTTACCATTTTCCTGGAGAGCTAGCTTGATGCTGTAAGACCTTAGGGGTTAAAGCCAGTTTTCTCTGTGCTTGTCCCAGAGTATCACACTTGTTGCTGTGTTCAACATTGTGAGCTTCCTGGAATGGAATTCGTGTCCTTAGTGCCATTGAACATTAGCCTGGTGCCTTTACAAGGGAACGGATGGACTTTTAAAATTGGTCATTGTGTAAAGTAGGTGTTTTAGGTTATTTAAACCAAATATTTTTGCTTCCATCATTAGGTGAGATATTGGAAGGAGATGCACAAAGACTGAGAAAGACAATAATATTTTCCCAAATTAAGTGGGACTTCTCCCTCTCGTTTCCTCTCTAACTCCGTATCCTAAGAGGACTGAAAACACAGGGTTGAATCTTTTGATTCTTGTGACTTTCAAGCGACTTCTTGTGTGGAAGACTTCCTTCAGCTGCAACACTGAAGATGCCTGGTGAACTCACTGAGTTTTGTTCATCTTGACAGGGTATCCGTGGAGAATCTGGTGGACAGGGCCATGATGGAGAGCATGGGCATCCAGGCTCACAGGTTGTATCAGTAAACTTGTTTTTAGTACCAAAGGATATTTGTTTGAAATTTTAGATGGGATTCTTTGATAAAGATTTAATATAAATCAAAATATCTTTGGATGTGTCCTTTCCAGGACCTCCTAGAACAAAGTAGCCTCTCTTTTGGGTAGGTCAAACACCAATAAATAATACTTGGTGAGCACTTACTCTCTCCTAGATACAATCCTGAACACTTACACTAACTCATTTAACCCTTCAAAGGGGTAGGTGGGTGGGTTGTGTGTTTTATCCTCATTTGAGAGGGGAGAAATGGAGGGCATGCAGAAGTTAGGTAAATTGGCCAGGCTCACAGCTAGTAAGTTTGAAAGATGGGCTTCAAACCCAGGCAAACTAGTTATAAAAATTGATGCACGTCACTATTGTCTCTGATGTTGCCAATTCAAATTATTTAAATAGTATTTCATCCACTAAAATTCTACTCAGTTTGTCAGGAAAAGTCAGCAAAGCATTTACTGAGTATTACACATGGTGGTGGTTTGCTCACAGGCCTTGGGTGTTGGTGTTCAGCTCATTAAGGTGAGGGGCCCAAGGACTTCAGTCCAGTGGGGTTTAGACTATTCAGTGATAACTGGAAATTTAAACTTCCAACTAGTTTTTGAAATCATCTACACATAACTCAAATCTGTCATTTTGCAAACCCTTCTGGAACACTTTTTTTCATCTTTCTTTTAAAAGTCAATTGTTTCCAAAGTATCTCAGGGAAAGGGAAAAACTTCAAAAAAAATTTTTATTAGCACATTAAATCATTCTCCATAATTTAAAAAATGCTATTAGCGTAAGACAATACGATGAGATGATTTCTGCTGTTTTTATTTGATTTGACAGAGGTGGTAGAGAAAGAAGGGTAATTGAAGTAGTATTAGCGATTATATTTATTTTATAATAGAAAATAGTATCTGAACAGAGGGGAAAGCAACTGAAAGATATTCTTTCCTTTTGTTTGGTGGCTTAATTCTGATTTGACACCCCCACCTCCCCACTATTGTGTCTTTGTAGTCACTTTATTACACCGCTTTATGCAAGGGGAATGGCCATGTTGTGAGCCATGAGGAAGAGCATCACTAACCTCTCTCAGTCCTCACCTGCCCACTGCGATGTGGGTGTGGCAGTCTGTTTAATAGAGGATTACAATACTTGACAATGAGTAGAGACTCCATGATCAATTTCCCATTTTGCAATGGGAAAGGATTTCTCAGAAAAGTTGGAGAAAAATTAAAATGTCAATAATCAATAAAATTAAATAAATTGGGGAGAAAAATGAACATTTCCTAATGGACCCAGTGAGATCAGGCCACTTAAATGTAGTTTGAAAAAAACTGGAAAATCATCTCTTTTCTTTAGCCCTTCAAAAGGGTTAAGGATAAGGAAAAGGTGATTTTTTTTAATGAAGTGATCCCTATAGCCCAGCAGCCCTTCTCATTCCCCTTTTAGGATTTCAAATTACTTGGGTGAGATGAATTATAAAAGCAATGTTTTCAAATTTAATATTTATCAAATTCAGCTGGGGAGATGGTTAAAATATCACAGCTGAGGGCTCATGTGCTGTGCTTCTGGTGGAGTGACTTTGGAGCAGGGTACTTCTGGGTACAGATGCTGCTGGATTACACTGTGATAAATGAAATTACTATGGGCCAGGGCATCTGTTAATGATTGTGTGGTTATATGGAAAATAAGTTCTATAAAAATTGGTTGACTTTTAATTTCATCTTTGGACCAGGGACTGAGAGGAAGGCAAGGACCACCAGGAATTTTTGGACAAAAAGGCTTGTTGGGTGCTCAGGTAGGTTTGAAAAACTAACAGGTACCACATAGCTGTTCATTAACAATGGTTGATTCATACACCTGAGTGTCCCTGCACAGATAATACAAAGCCATGTAGAGTGCTGTGAAATCTGTGGGTGTCAGGAATTTTTGAAAGCAACTAATTCAATGCAGTGGACACTGATTGCCACCCTTCTGCTTTAGGTATATTGTGGGAATATTATAACCAATGAGATGTGAGATTCCATATAAACCTATAGTACAAGAATACATTGTTCTATAAAAGGGGTACATACGATTAACTTCTCACTAATACATATGAAAGTATTATTGTCCCAATTTTATAGATGAGGAAACTGAGGCACAGGGAATAATTGATTAGTCATCTGGAGGAAGTGGCCAGACTTGGATCTTTCTAGTTCCTGTCCTGACCCATGGTAGTGTCATACCTGATTAAGGCAGGTGATCAGGAGTGGCTTCCTAAGGGAAGGCCAATTGAAATTGCTTAGAAATCTGAGGAGCATGATTTAAGTCAGGGAGAAGAGTCTCAGTGTGGAGATTCAAAAGAGCGGCTCCAGGATGGTCTAAACCCTGCTTATATCTCTTAGTCAAGAAAAATGCCCAAAAATAGATGACTGGATCAAGAAGATGTGGTACATATACACAATGGAATATTACTCAGCAATCAAAAAAGATAAACACATGCAGTTTGCAGCAACATGGATGGAACCAGAAGGGATCATGCTCAGCGAAATAAACCAGAAAGAAAAAGAAAAATACCGGATGGTCTGACTCATAGCAGGAATTTAGAAAACCTAAATAAGGGACCAGGAAAAAGACTAATTAATACAAAGTAAAACTCAAAATCAACAAGCAACTATAAACCAGAAACAAACCATGAGGGATGGGGGGAGTGAAGGGGAGAGGAAGGACTAGGGTCAAAATAAGGGGGAGGTGGTGCAATTGTATGGGGAATATAACCAAAATGATAATGCATACATTGTGCAAAAATGAAAAATGATGTAAGAATTATATAAAATAAAAAATTAAAAAAATCTAACCCCAGACTAATTTATTATTTCCTTTCTCATTTGATAATATTTTCTTTCAGAGTGGGCAGGAGTCCAGGCATTTGTCTTCCCAGTCTCTTAATCAAATGGTATTTCCCTCTATTTGTCAGATAAACCGTCCAGTTTTCTGCACATGGTAGATGTGAACTCTTGAACGTCTTACTCCCCCACTCCAGCCAACTCCAAGGCTAAATGTGTATATTATGCAGTTTATATGTTGGAGGATAAAGTGAACTATGTGAAAATTGAAAGGTGATTCATGAGCACATTTCAGTAATAACTAGAGAGTCAGATAGTTGACTCTGTTGTCTTTGAGGTGATTTCATTTGTGGTTTTATTCTTGCAGGGGAATCCTGGGTTTCCAGGACCAAATGGTTCGAAGGGAAAAGCTGGACCAAGAGGAATGAAGGTAAGTGTCAGAGAACACACTCTTCCTTGATAACAAGTTGGTTTTTCTGTACAAATCTCTCCTTTGTGGTCATTCTTCACATGAGTATCGGATGTGGTTGGTAATGATGTTGGCTATGCGTTATCTAAGAGCTAGAGAGATGGGTATGAATAAAGAAAGATGTACAGAGAGACATGTAGAGAGTTGGTCAGGTAGATGGTCATATATACCAGTCAACAGAGACACATCAATAGATAAACATGGATTCATCACAAATTCAGATGCACATACCCAAACCTAGAAAAGTTCTCTAACTGCTGCTTTATACCTGGCTTTGCTAATTTTCAGGACCAAAATATTGACTATATTTGTTAGTTATCTGTGTCTAACAAAAGCTAGAGTTAAGACATTTGCCTTAAACTATAGGATGCCAATGGGGCTTGAGAAGAGTGACTAAAATCTCCAAGCAAAATGACATAAAATTGCATCTGCCCATAGGAGAATTAATTTAATCTTTCCCCTTTATTATTAAAGGGAGAGGTTGGTGATCCAGGAAGAAAAGGCTCACAGGGTCGACAAGGACCAAGAGGGCAACCAGTAAGTCTAATTTCTCTTTTTTAGTCTAATTTCTCTTTTTAAAATTAAAACTTTATCATTATCAAGGTGAAATTTTTGTATAACACTAAATCAGTTTCAATTGTAAAACTTTGTAATTTGACATCTGTAAACACTACATCATGATCACTACCAAATATTTATACTTAACTTTTGGTCCATATTTAACACTGTCCGTCCATCTCCCCCCTGGCCCCACCCCCGCCCACTCCATATCTCCCCCTTCTGTTATCTATCAGTCCAGACGCTCAGTTGAATTTCTCATTTGTATCTATTGTTTAACAGAAAATTCTAGTATTCTTGATGAATTAAACTCAGTGTTATAAATGTTATCACTAGAATGGTGGTGAATCTAAATAGTCCAGGATTGGGCCTCCCTGGTGGCGCAAGGGGTTAAGATGCAGCCTGTAAAGCTGTGTGAAGTCTTTGCTGCACGAGCTTGATCCCCGGCCGGCCAGGGAGCAACCCACATGGCACAGCAGACCTCTCTTGTCTCGCCCGCTGCTCCCCTCAGCAGTGTATTTCAGTCAGTGTACCTGTTCTCCCCACTGTCTCTGGTGAATCCTCTCACCCCCACATCTCTGGCCTGTGCCCCAGCTCTTGTATGCATAAATAAATCTTAAAAAAAATAGTCCAGGATTATCAAACTTTTCTTATCAACACAGAATCCAAAGATGTCTCAGGAATGTTTTGGCCTTTTCACATGTTGTTGAAGAGGGACATGCTAGTGACCTTTTTCTATCTGACAGAGACGTTTAACAAGCATTCGAGTCTCTTTTCCAGGTGTTCAACGAAACACTTTTCCCAGCGAGACAAGTCATCCAGTCAGCATTATAAACCTTTAAGGGCACAGATTTGATTATCCAGGAACATTGAAATAACCTCTGGACATCAAGGATTGTGAAAGGTTTACTTAACAGATTGTGCTTCCTAAAACAGGGCCACATATTTTTACCTTAGTTATGGCTCTGAACATGAGAGTACAATGGTTATTTGAGGACTGTTTTCAAGTAACTACCTTACCGGACTTAGCTTTGTGACAGAGTATCATATTCCTACAACTCATATTCTGAGATTTCTTTCAGCAGCAGCAGAAAAGCCGATAGTAGTTTTGTACATTTTTTTTTTTTTAATGGAAGCAACATTGGTTGACAATTCTGTATATGATCCAGCACTCTGGACTGAAATTGCATTTTAGCAAGGTGAAGAAAAAGGAGTAGGCTTAAGAAGAGAAAGTTTAAATGTGGAAGGTGGGAGAAAAGGATAAAATTTCTATAAAGGGAGTATTGGGCAAGTAATGCTTTACACGTACGCTCAATTCAGATGATGACGTTAACACTGTGTAACTTTACTACAGTCTTATCATTTAAAGTGACACAAAACATTCTTACTGACCTTTCCCGGGGACAGACAAATTTGGGAGAATGCCATTGTTTGTTTCTTGTACAATGAAAGTAAAGTCAAGGGGAACTTTTACAGTGATTTGACTTCCTAAAACGATGGTGTCATCTTGCTGCTCCAGGATTTCACTGTAAAGGTGGTTATGATTTTTGGAAAATAATGCAAAGAGCTTATATCTTGGTATTTTAAAGTTTTAAAGCCTGCCACTTCTTTATCCTATAAAGGAAGGGAAAACCTCCACCAAACCCCTTCTGCCTTCTTCACCTCCCTGCACTGCCGATTTGATCTGCATTCAGGGATGGTCTGGATGACTGTATTTCATCTTGTGTCATTTTCTCAGGGTGCTCTTGGTCCAGATGGATATGGACGTCCGGGAAGAAAGGGAACAAAGGTGAGGGTTACCTTGCAGAATGTTCTGAACTAAGGACTATAGTTTTTACTTTTTGTTTTACTAGAGTAAGGATCGTTGCCCATGTGGTACGCCACAGATGGTTTCTGCATGTTGTTCATTACACGTTGTAGTTGCCAAAGACCTTTCCTTACAAAATAAAAGCTGATTTTGTCAAGCCCTCATTTAAAAATCAAACTTGTTACCTCATCTTCCACCTGTGCCAGATACTCCCACCCCAGCTCTGGGCTCCCCAGCCCTGGGCACTCCAGCTCCTTGCCTTTTGCTGACACTCTGACCTGTTCAGGGTGCCCATCTTTATCTCCCTCTTGTGTACAATATTTATGTGTTTTTTTAGAGTGACTCAGCTATCATCTTCTCCCCTGGAAGCTTTCTTGGACTTCCTCATGCAGAATTTTTTTTTCTTGTACTCTGTGTTCCTGAAGCACATTGTATTTCTACAGTGACCCCATTGCTTTTAGGTTGTGTTAGAATTTATTTATGCACACGTCTACCTCCCAGTCTCTGAACTTGACAGCAAGATTGCACTGGACTCATTTATCTGTTGCTGAAATAGGGCTGACACAGAGTAGGTGCTCACTGACTGCATTTAAATATAACTTTTTTGAATACCTGCCATTCCCATAAGAGGTTGGTATTTTAACATGTAGTTCATGGGTCATCGATAGTTGTTGTGAAGCATGGAAGTCACATGAAGCTTTTCAAACAAATCAGATGTCAGTAGCCACTATTGTTTTGGGTGCTTCAGTCTGCTTTTTATTTATTGCCTCACAAAACAAAAAAGTCACTGGGTTGTTCACTGGCGCTCACGACAATGTGAGGACTCTGCTGGCTTCTCTGCCTTTTCATTTCCCTTGTGACTGCAAGGTGGCACCACTGCCATTTTATCCACCAGGAAAAGGTCCTAAGCACAGTAAGCTCTTAGTAAATATCTGGGAAATGATGGCATAGAGGGGGACCTCAGTGATCACCCAGTTCAACCCAGTTACATCATCTTTCACATGTCTCTTTCTCTCACCCCCTAAATTTAATTCATTAACAAATAATAGTGAGTCTGTCTTCAAAAGAGACGCAGCATCACATCACTGTGCCCAGTGCTGCCACCGTCCTCTTGGCCAAGCCATCATGATTTTCTACCTGAATTACTGCATTAGCCACACATCTGATCTCCCTGCTTCCATTCTAGTTTGTTCACTGTGCAAGAGCCAGAACTATCTTTTAAACACATGGCCAGCTTATGTCACTCCTTGACTCAGCCCAGCTGTGCCTCCCAGTGCCATTCAGAATGAAATCCACTATTACTGTGGCCTCCAAGACTCTGCACTCTCTGGCCCCTCTGTTAACTGCCTGACCTCTTCTCCTGCTCCTGTCACCCCGTCATTCTGCTTCACTGGTCCCCAAACACACCCCACATTCATACTCTTGCCTCGGGGTTTTTCAATTGCTCTTCCCTCTGCCTGGAATACTTTTCTCCCATATCTGCTTGCCTTTCTCTCTAAACTCCCCTTTGGGAGTAGCATTTTTGTTTCCCTGACATATTTTTCTCACTAGTTGGCTAAGTTCCACAGTAGCAGAATTTTTGGTCTGCTCACCATTGAATTCCCAGTACCCAGAGAAGTGCCTGGTACAGGATAGGTGCCAAGTACATATTTGCTGAATGCATAGTGGCTTTATAGTATGCCTTTGATTTAACAATGAGTATCTGCTCAGCCTTGGACTCCTAACAGCAACAAAAACACTCTCTCCTCTACTGCTAGGGCCAGGGGTGTGCTGGTCAGAGACTGAGGACACTGCCACCCCTCCTCAGGGGTCCAGGTCTCTCTTTGGACTGCAGAGAAAGGGGAAGTATTTGGGGCTCATCAGTTTAGTAGCCCTTCCTTAGTTTTCATTGGATCAGATCTCCAGTTCATTAAACAAAGAGAGAAAATTGCTTAAGAATGAAGTTTCATTACACAATCTCTTAAGAAGGGGGATCAATTTGTGACAACCATTTGTCAGTTTCACATTGAATTACAGAAATAAAATATGATCACTGGGGAGTAGCTCAAGATAATGACGGCTCCAATAGTCAGTTTTCTGGATATTTTGAATCTATTTCCTCAAAATTATAGTTCCTTCTTTTTCTCTGAGGCATGTCAGAGTGAGACTTATGTCACATGGCATTAAACTAACCCTTATCTCATTTCTGACACTAGGGTGGACTTGGATTTCCTGGCTATCCTGGGGCACAAGTAAGAAGAGCTCTCCCTTGGCCCGGCAGCCGGTATGCAGCATGCAACGCTAGTTTGTATTTGTTTTTATTTATACTCAACATTCTGCTTTGATTCTATTAAGGGAGAAGTTGGGGACCCAGGCCGCCAAGGAGAGAAGGGGGCAAAGGGCCTCAGAGGGACAAGGGTAAGAACCAGGAATTAAACTTCTCAAGATATTCAGAGGCGCACATCATGACAGTCTGCTCCCAGGAGCACATTTCCACTGTGGTAATGGACTTCTAATGGGAAGCCTGTGTCCTCTTCAGGCAGTGGACGGGCCACACGTTCCTCGGGCTGCCCACTTCTGCTCAGTCTTGTTCTCATTTGCTTTCTGAATGTGAATACAGTTCACCAGATCTTAACAGCAGAAAATTCAAGTTGGAGTTTCAGTTATGCATTATCAGCCTTTCAAAGAAACAAGTTTTGGGGTACCTCTGTGTGTGTTAAGTTTAGATGGCATTTGGAACACATAAAAGTCACTGGAGTGTGAGTTTATCAATGAAAACAAACACTGCTGTTGCTTTAAGATTCTTCCAAGTGTTAACGATTTCTTAGATATTTTAGGATTAGACTACAGGACCATGACTGCTGTCTTAGTGGACTTTGATTCAAGTTTTACTGCGCTTTGTAGCGTCTACCATTAAAAATCCGTTCCTTTAGATTCTGAATATTCAGTCTTGAAGCACCTCAATTAACTGCTAGCTCTTTTTGGAAAGAGTAAATCTATGATGGCTGACTACTCAGTAATGTTTAGCTGATAGACATAGAGGCCTTTTTGGAAAAGGACATGGGTGCACTCAGTGAAGAAAAGAGAAAAGGAAAGAGAACATGTATTTTCTAAAATAAAAAAAAAATACCAGTAATTGGTATTTTTATAAAATGGCAAGGATACAAAGAAAGTTATGATTTATGTCCAACTTGGCTTGCTGCTGACTATTGCTTTGTTCAGCTAAGCTTATCTCTCTGGGTTCAAATACAAGATGAGGCAACAGTTATGTGCAGATAATTCTGTCAGTTCAAATACCTATAAGATGAACAGTGAGCCCATGGCTGATATACCTGTTTAGAGACACCAAAAACCAAAAGGAGGTAGAGGATCATTTCTTTTCTTCTTTTTTTTTTTTTAATTAATAAATTTTATTTTTATATTCCCCATACAATTGCAATCCCCCCATTCTGACCCCAATCCCTCCCCTCCCGCCCCCCACCCCCCAAAAAGTGTCTCTGGTTCATAGTTTTTATTGATTTTGATTTTCACTTTCTTATAGTTATTCATTTTCCCTGGTCCCTTATTTAGGTTTTCTAGATTCCTGCTATGAGTGAGACGATTCAGTATTTTTCTTTTTCTTTCTGGCTTATTTCGCTGAGCATGATCCCTTCCAGTGCCATCCATGTTGCTGCAAATTGCATGTGTTTATCTTTTTTGAATGCTGAGTAATATTCCATGGTATATATGTACCACATCTTCTTGATCCAGTCATCTATTTTTGGGCATTTGGGTTGTTTCCAAAGCTTAGCTATTGTAAATAGTGCTGCTATAAACATAGGGGTGCAGGTGTTCTTTGGAATTGATGTTTCTGTGTTCTTTGGGTAAATACCTAGGAGTGGAATTGCTGGATACTGTGGAAGCTCTATCTTTAGTAGGTCCAGAAATCTCCACACAGCTCTCCATAGTGGTTGGACCAGTTTGCACTCCCACCAACAGTGCAGAAGAGTTCCTTTTTCTCCACAACCTCGCCAACATTTGTTGTTGCTAGTTTTTTTAATATGTGCCATTCTCACTGGTGTAAGATGGTATCTCATGGTAGTTTTGATTTGCATTTCCCTGATTGCAAGTGATGTTGAACATTTTTTCATATGCCTGTTGGCCATTCGCATTTCCTCTTCAGAGAAGTTTCTTTTTAGTTCCTCTGTCCATTTTTTGACTGGATTATTTTCTTTGTTGTTGTTGAGTCTCATCAGCTCTTTGCAGATTTTTGTGATCAGTCCTTTATCATTAGTGTTGTGTGCAAAAATTTTCTCCCAGTTGGTGGGGTTTCTCTTTGTTTTTGTTATTGTCTCTTTTGCTGTGCAGAAGCTCTTTAATTTGATGTAGTCCCAGCTGTTGATCTTTGCCTTCACTATCACTGCTTTGGGTGATGTGTCTGTAAAGATGTCTTTGATATGCAAATCACGTAGTGTTTCGCCTATATTTCCTTCTATGTATTTTATGGTTTCAGGTCTTATGTCTAGTTCTTTAATCCATTTTGAGTTGATTTTTGTATATGGTGTGAGGTAGTGGTCAAGCTTCATTCTTTTGCATGTAGCGACCCAGTTTTCCCAGCACCATTTATTGAACAAACTTTCTTTGCTCCAATGCATAGTCTTTGCTCCTTTGTCAAAGATTAGTTGACCATAAATCTGTGGGTTTATTTCTGGATTTTCTATTCGATTCCATTGGTCTGTATGTCTGTTCTTGTTCCAATACCATGCAGTTTTGATGATTGTGGCTTTGTAGTAGAGTTTGAAGTCTGGGAGTGTGATGCCTCCATTCCCTTCTTTTTTTTTCAGGAGAGCTTTGGCTATTCGGGGTTTTTTGTGATTCCATATGAATTTCATCAATAATTGTTCTATTTCTTTGAAGAATGACATTGAAATTTTGATTGGAATAGCATTGAATCTGTGTAAGTACCGCGCGCTAACCGATTGCGCCACTGGAGCTCCAGGAATAGCATTGAATCTGTATATTGCTTTTGGTAGGATGGCCATTTTAATAATGTTTATTCTCCCAATCCATGAGCAGGGGATGTCTTTCCATTTCTTTGTGTCTTCTTCTATTTCTTTTAACAGTGTTTTATAGTTTTCTTTGTATAGGTCCTTTACCTCTTTTGTTAGATTTATTCCCAAATATTTGATTTTTTTTGTTTCAATAAGAAAAGGGATGGTTTTTTTTGATTTCTTCTTCTTCAGATTTATTGTTTGTATATAGGAAGGCTACTGACTTTTGCGTGTTGATTTTGTATCCTGCCACTTTACTGAACTGATTGATGAGTTGAATTAGTTTTTCTGTGGAGTTTTTGGGGTTCTCTATGTATATTATCATATCATCTGCAAAGAGTGATAGTTTGACTTCTTCTTTTCCTATTTGGATTCCTTGGATGTCTTTCTCTTGTCTTATTGCTCTGGCTAGGACTTCCAGTATTATATTGAAAAGCAGTGGTGAAAGTGGACATCCTTGTCTTGTTCCAGATCTTAATGGAATTGCTTTCAGCTTTTCACCATTGAGAATGATACTGGCTGTTGGCTTGTCATAGATGGCCTTTATGATGTTGAGGTACGTTCCTTGTATCCCAAGAATTTCAAGGGCTTTTATCATGAATGGGTGTTGCACTTTGTCGAAAGCTTTCTCAGCATCTATTGATATTATCATATGGTTTTTATATTTCTTTTTGTTGATGTGTTGGATAACGTTGATTGATTTTCGGATGTTAAACCATCCTTGTGTCCCTGGAATGAATCCTACTTGGTCGTGGTGAATTACCTTATGGATACACTGTTGGATTCTGATAGCTAAAATTTTATTGAGGATTTTTGCATCAGTGTTCATTAGGGAGATTGGCCTATAGTTTTCTTTTTTTGTGTTGTCCTTGTTCGGTTTTGGTATTAGTGTAATGTTGGCTTCGTAGAACGTGTTAGGTATTATACCTTCCTTCTCAATTTTTTGGAAGAGTTTGTGAAGGATAGGTACCAATTCGTCTCTGAATGTTTGGTAGAATTCATTTGTAAATCTATCAGGTCCTGGGCTTTTGTTTTTGGGGAGGTTTTTGATTACCATTTCAATTTCGCTAATTGTAATTGGTCTGTTTAGGTGTTCTATTTCTTCTTTATCTAGCTTTGGGTGATTGTAGAGTTGTAGGAATTTGTCCATCTCCTCTAGATTGTTAAACTTGTTTCCATATAACTGTTCATAGTAGTTATTAATAATTCTTTTGATTTCTGCTGTGTCCGTTGTGATTTGTCCTCTTTCATTTATTATCCTATTTATTTGTGCTTTCTCCCTTTTTGCCCTTGTGAGCCTGGCAAGGGGTTTATCTATTTTATTTATTTTTTCGAAGAACCAGCTCTTGGTTTCATTGATCTTTTGGATTGTTTTTTTAGTTTCGATTTCATTTATTTCTGCTTTGGTTTTTATTATTTCTTTTCTTCTACTGGTTTTGGGGCTTTTTTGTTGTTCTTTTTCTAGATCTTTGAGTTTCGAGATTAGGTTGTTTCTTTGAGTTCTTTCTTGTTTCTTGATGTGAGCATCTATTGCTATATATTTTCCTCTTATTACTGCTTTTGCTGCATCCCATACATTTAGGAAATTGGTGTCCTCCTTGTCATTCAATTCAAAGAATTTTTTAATTTCTTCTTTTATCTCCTCGTTAGTCCAGTGGACTTCCAGTAGTGTGGGTTTCAATCTCCACGAGGTAGGAGAATACCTTGCCTTCTCTTTATGGCTTATTTCTAGTTTGATGCCTTCATGGTCAGAAAAGATGGTTGGTATGATTTCAATCTTGGTGTATCTGTTGATGTTTGTCTTGTGCCCCAATATATGATCGATCCTAGAGAATGATCCGTGTGCGCTTGAGAAAAATGTATACTCAGATTTTTTTGGGTTTAGTGTTCTATATATGTCTGTTAAGCCTAAGCACTCTAGATCCTTATTTAGAGCTTTAGTGTCTTTACTTATTTTTTGTCTTGTTGATCTATCCATTGTTGATAGTGGTGTGTTGAAGTCTCCCACTACGTATGTGTTTTCTCTGATGTCTGTTTTCAGAGATGCCAATAGTTGTCTGATATATTTTGGTGCTCCTTCGTTTGGTGAATATATGTTAATGAGTGTTATTTCTTCTTGAAGTATTATCCCCTTGATCATAATGTAATGACCACTGGGGTCTCTTTTTATCTTTTTAAGATTGAAATCTGTTTTATCTGATATGAGTATAGCTGTTCCTGCCTTCTTTTTTGGTCCATTTGCTTGTAGAATTGTTTTCCATCCTTTAACTTTGAGTCTATTTTTATCTTTTGCAGCTAAATGTGTTTCCTGGAGACAGCAAAAGGTTGGGTTTTGTTTCTTAATCCAGCCTGCAACTCTGTGTCTTTTTATTGGAGAGTTTAGTCCATTTACATTTAGAGTTAGTATTGATATGTTAGCATCTGTATTTGCCATTGTGTTTGTCTTTCCTTTGATTTTATTTATTTATTCTTTTAATAACTTTCTTTGGCCTTCTTTTGTTGTTATTCGTCCCTCTGAGGTTCTGGCTTTAGGATTCCTTGTAGTATTTTTTGGAGTGGGGGTTTAGTCGTAATGAAACTCTGGAGTTTCTCTTTGTCTTGGAAGGTCCATATTCTTTCTTCATGGAGGAAAGAGAGCTTTGCGGGATAGAGTATTCTTGGTTGGCATCTGTTTTCTTGAAGTCTGTTGACTATGTCCCTCCACTCTCTCCTTGCCCGTAGTGTTTCTTCAGAGAAGTCTGATGTCAGTCTGATTGGTTTCCCTTTGAATGTTATCTGTTTCTTCCCTCTTGTTAGTTTCATTATTTTTTCTTTGTCTTGGATTCTTGGGAGCTTTACTATTATGTGTCTTGCTGTATTTTTCCTTTCGTCATGGAAGTTTGGTGTTCTTCTTGCTTCTTGTATATCAATTTTCAGATCCTTCTTAGCGTTTGGGAAGTTCTCTTCAATTATATCCATGAATATTTTCTCTGTTCCTACATCTCTCTCCTCTCCTTCTGGGATTCCTATAACTCTTATATTTCCTTTCCTCATGGAGTCAGATAGTTCCCGAAGTCTTTCTTCGGTCTTTTTCCTTCGTACTTCTCCTTCCTTTTCTGTTTTAGTTCTTTTTATTTCTGTGTCTTCAAGAGTACTTATTTGTTCTTCCATTTCATCTATTCTGCTTTCACTGCTTTTCCCAGAGTTCTTTAGCATCTCCATTAATTCTTTGATCTCCTGCATTTCTTTTACTTCCCTCTTTAGGGACTCAATTTCATTCTTCTGGTCATTAATTATTTTCCCCTTATCATTGTTTTCCTTTATGACTTCTGTCAGTTTTTTAATCACAGCAATTTTAAATTCTCTATCTGGAAGGCTCAGAAGTTCTTCCAAGTTACTGTCGTTGCAATCTGGTAGATGGTTTTCTTTTTGTGGTGTGCTATTTTGCTGAGGAGTTGCTGGGTTGCATGTTGTTTTTCTACTCCCTACTGCCTGTTTTCTAATTTGCCGTATTCCTTGTGACACTGTGTTGCTGGTACTGGCCGGCATCTTGGGCGACCTTCCCAGCTCACCACTGGCTCCTCTGGGGAACTTCTGCTGGGTTCACAAGTCTCCAGCAAAGACAGGTCCCTGCTCTGTCTCCTCGGTGAGCCTTCTGCTGGGTTCACACAGTCTCCAGCAAGAAGGGTCCCTGCTGCAAAATGCCAGAGCCGGGGACGCGCTCCCCTGCACGCCCGGTCTGCCCCAGCGGTGGGTGCTGCTCCCCTCTGGGCTGGAACTGCAGGCTAGAAGGCGCCCAGCATGGGCAAGCCTCCCAGCTTACCTCTGTCTCCTCGGTGAGCCTTCTGCTGGTTCACACAGTCTCCAGCAAGAAGGGTCCCTGCTGCAAAATGGCGATGCAGGAACGGCTCCCCTGCACGCCCGGTCCGCCCCAGCGGTGGGTGCTGCTCCCCTCTGGGCTGGAACTGCAGGCTAGAAGGTGCCCGGTGTGGGCAAGCCTCCCAGCTTAACCTCTGTCTCCTCGGTGAACCTTCTGCTGGGTTCACACAGTCTCCAGCAAGAAGGGTCCCTGCTGCAAAATGCCGGTGCCGGCGACGCGCTCCCCTGCACGCCAGGTCTGCCCCAGCGGTGGGTGCTGCTCCCCTCTGGGCTGGAACTGCAGGCTAGAAGGTGCCCAGCATGGGCAAGCCTCCCAGCTTACCTCTGTCTCCTCGGTGAGCCTTCTGCTGGGTTCTCACAGTCTCCAGCAAGAAGGGTCCCTGCTGCAAAATGCCGGTGACGCGCTCTCATTTCTTTTCTTCTGATGCCAGACTCTCAATGCAGATTTCCTGCACTCTTTTAGTTACATGACCTAGAGGTTCAACTAAGTATTAAGCTATCCTTTAAGAGTATTTTTGGTAGTATGTGTGTGTATGTATTCGTGTTGGCTAAAATTGGGTATGGGGGTATTTAGATGGCTTGCCAAAAGAGACCTCTTTCTAGCCTCTGTGACTTACTCCACTGGTCACAGTTGATAAACTGGCCCATAAGCAGACCTGTTGGGCCTCAGGTTCAGTGGCAACTTGATATCTCAAAGTGTGTCTGATAGTTTTAAGCGACTTCTACTCAAGGCAGGAAGCTTACTCCCCTGTTTGGTCATTTTCAGGGCAATGCTGGCTTTCCTGGATTTGTTGGAACTCCAGGTGACCAAGGCCTATCAGGACCAATGGTAACATGGGAATTTCGCCTTTCTCTTATTTTCAATCTTTGTGTAAAAGTGGAGGACTAGGTAAGAGGCATCTCTAAGAGGCAATGAATGTTTGGGACACACGAAGGTTCTATATGAGGAATGGTCGAATCTGCTGGCATCAGCGCCATGTGTTTACACTGCGTATTTGCTTAATACATGTACTTTTTACTTGAACACTGGGAAGCAACAGCTGGAGATGTATGAGTTTGTCTAGACACATAAAGAATACATAAGAGGACACATAAAAGTCACTGGAGTGTGAGTTTATCAATGTAAGCAAGATGAATAGCATTTGTGTAAAAAACAGGGAAACCTAACAAAATATGACATTTATTTAATCTTAACTGAAAAGGTTGCAAACTCACAAATGTTTTTAAAGTTTTCTGGAATGCTCTTTGGAACACAAGGAAAGATTTTGAGGCTGTTGTTGCTTTGTTCTATGCCTTATCCCAGGGGTGAGGCTGTAATTACATGAGGGATGGCACAGTAGGTCATCTGGGTGCTGAACCTGGTGCTTTCACTGCATTTAGCATCTCAGAAACTGCAAAATCAAAGCATCAAAAATCTTAGAAGGACCACCTCTGCCCATTTTACAGATAAGGAAGCAAAACCTGAGATGATAGTGACCTGCCCAGAGTCACAAATTACTCCCAGGTGGAGTCTAAATAAGAGCAAAGATCTCTGTTCTCCCAGCATGATTGGAGTTGAGAATCTCTCCTCTGGAGGGTTCCAGTGAAAACTTGTTTAGTACTGGCACAGAGATGGGTAGTGTGGGCGGCTCGTAGAAAGGGACTCAGGGGAGATCTACTTTCAGAGTGCCTATGAGTTTCATCCTAAACTATACCATGGTTTCAAAATGACCTGGCCTCAGAATCTTTACATACCATCTACTGGGCTGCCTGGACTGTGAGGTCTGGGACAAAGTAGGTGCTCTGACGACCTTCCTTAAGGGGTCAGGCAAAACTCAAGAGCCAGAACGGAAGGGCAGATGGTGATCTGTGTGCTGTGGTCAACTTTCTTAGAACCTCTTGCCAACTCTGAGACAATAATTTGTTGGGCCTCAGATTCCTGCATTTTAATCCCAAGTGTCTGTTTTTCTAGGGTGTCAAGGGCCCCAAAGGTGTGACAGATATGACGGTAGGTGAAGATTTTAATTCGAGACTTTATTCTTTTCACAAAGCTTTCCACCTTCACAAAGTAGAAATCTGTAAAGATTTTTTAGTTTCTCCTCTTAAAAATTCTCTTTGTACTTTATAAATTTTACTCTGGGAATGTTATAACCAAGTCACATATAAAGAGTAGAATAATATTTTAAATCCTGGAGGGAATCCGGATGTTTTTGAGTAACACTAGTTGACATGAAAGGAAAGATCTACCTTTTTGCAACATGCCTTTTTGTAAAGTTCAAAAATTGCCTGTAAAGTATTTATAAGTCAACACAGGTGTAGTACAGGCCTTTGTGTCTCATAGCATACCTGAGAACAGTCTAAGAAGTTAGGGATTTTTTTTATCTCCCAAGTGCAAAAATCCTATTGAGGAAGGGGGGTGGGTGGAGGAAACCGAAGAGCAGGTTGGGATGGAGGGGACAACAGATCAGGGAAGAAGGGGCCAAAGGAAAGAAGCCGATTTCTAGGAGGTGTTAGGGATATCTGGACAAACACTCTTTAGCTATGCTCCAGGAATTGCTAGTATGAAGACCAAAGAATTAAAGGCATTTCTGTCCTCTTGTGCCAAGAGTCCTGGTTTTAACCTTCTACAGAATCAGATTTTATCTGTTGCTTCGTGAGGCAGAGTTAAGAAAATAAGTACACGTTATCTACCTGTCTCTCGTAGCATAGGCACTAGATAGCATGTGGAATATATTAAATATTTGAAAATTCCCTCAGCAACCAGAAATATTTTTTTCCAGAAAAATGATTTTATTAGGGTAGTCAACTTGAAGACTTTGAAAGATAGCTATGTGCGGTGCCCCCTCCCGCGGCAGAACTCAAGTGAATTATCAGGGACAATTGCTGTCATTTTTAAAATATGCCCTGCAAACTTTTACTTTATGTGTTAATATTCTATGGTATATTTCACTTTTAAAAAACTGAGAAACATAAGTGTTTATTCTGTTCTCTGTATTCTTCCTATATATTTTATACTTTTCATTATAAAATGTTTGTAAAGAAAAAAAGCATCATTGCAAATATTATAGTATAGGAGTTTTTCCAGGCTCCATAAATATTCATTGTTGGATAGTTTAATCTGCTGTACCAATGCTTGGGGTTTCTGTTGTAGATTAAAAAGCTTCAGATCTGCACTGATAACATCCATGTGCCCAATCTCTTAAGTCATGAGAATGAGGAAGACTGTTCTTCAAATTAAATACTTTTCCTTTTCCCTCTCTTTCTCTACCTAACAGCCTTGTGAGATTGTTGAGTTCACTCGAAAAAATTGCCGTAAGTTTGAAGGAGGCGCTAAAGGAACCAGTGGTTTGAAGTGGGACTGGATCATGGATTGGGGACAGAGTGACTTTTGAGATGGACTGAGGTTTGGGGGTCCATCCTGAAAGACTCTTACAAATTTGTATGTTTGACTCAGTCTCCCCTTGGGTCTGTGATCTGCAGTGTCGTCTCCAAAATGACGTGCCTGGAAAGCACATCATCTCAGATGAAGAAGAATTCTGTAATATAGCAGCTCATGAAATGCTGTGCTAATTATACACCTGAATGTCTGCATCTTGGTGCTTATGAACAGGAGGATTCAGAAAGAAAATACAAATGACAGTAAACCTATAAAAATGACCTCCCGACAAGTCAAAGAATACAAGTTAAAATAATTAGATGCTTATTTAGTTTCTCAAATTGGAAATTTTTCCAATGACAAAAAAAAAATCCCTATCTAAATTTGGGAAGTGTATACAAAAGAACAGATTGCCATTGCGGGTGTAAATTGGTACAAACTCTATGAAGAGCAATTGGATAATGTATATCAAAAACCATAGTCACAGAGATTAATATAGGACTGTATCTGGACAGATATACACAAATACATGTGCAAGTATGCTCACCCCAAAGAGATGTTGGCATAAAATAAAAACATAAGATACCTACATAGCAGAATAGAGATACTTTTCTAAATTTATGTCTGGAAAAAGATAGATGTTCACTGACTAAGTAAAGAAAAGTTTGGGGTAGTACATATCCAAAGCTCCAACCTTTAGGAAATGAAATGAAACAAATTATTTATATATGTGATGAATTAAGTTTAATTTTAATTTTTGTCCTCATTTTTCCACAAAAAATTATTAACTTTTATGTACACACTTATAGTTTATAATTAATATATATAGCTTTTGACATATAAACGTGTATAAATAGATATTTGCACAGCTTCAGAATATCTGGGTCTATTATTTAGATTTAGGGTGAGTTGAGTGTGACCTCAATGCTCAGTAAATATGACACAAAAATGTTTCTCAAATCAAAGCCTGGAACTCCGTGATGTTTAAGGACATGGGCTCTTTATTTTGTCTTAATTTGCCAATGGGGCAAGGGTGCTATTTCACAAATCACCTAATGGTTCTTGATGTCAGGCTTCAACCAGCAGGAAAAGGAAAGAAAAGGAGAAGGATGCCTTTTCAAAGTTGACCCTGCCATGTTTCTTATTCCACTATCCAGTTGGTAAAGATGGCTGCCCCCACTGGGAAATGTAGTGTTTGTTCTGGGCAGCCATAATACATAGCCAGAAATTGGGGTACTGGGTACTGGATAACAAGTAGAATTTCTGATTGAGTATCTCCAAGGAGGTGGTTTTTCATATTGAAAGACCCATATGGAAAAAATGCCACTGCCAACATAAACTAACAGTGTCTTTTCTCTCCAAAACAATTCTCTTGCAGCTTGTTCAACAGGTAAATATTATTTCTTCTGACTCAAGTCCTCTCCTGTTTAGGGGCAGTACAGAAAATCTTCAATTTGTGTTTTTATCACCTCCAGCTGTTTCTAAATGCCCAGTGTTCCCAACCGAAGTGGTCTTCGCCTTGGACATGTCAAATGGCATCTCCCAGGTGGATTTTGAGAGGATGAAAAACATTGTATTATCTCTGGTGATGAAGATGGAAATAAGTGAGAGTAACTGTCCCACAGGTGCCCGAGTGGCCATCGTTTCTTACAGTACCAAAACGGACTACCTGATCCGCTTCTCAGACTACAAGGGGAAACCCGCACTCCTGCAGGCCATTGAGACGATCCCCCTGGCGCGGTCATCTGGCATCAGGAACCTTGGGGGCACCATGAAGTTCATGGCAAGACATTTGTTCAAGCGTGTGCGCTCGGGCCTTCTCATGAGGAAGGTGGCCGTGTTCTTCCAGGCGGGCTGGGCCTACGACGCGGATGCCATCAACACGGCCATCCTGGAGCTTAGTGCCCTGGACATCCACTCCACCATCATCACCTTCACGCAGGGGCACAACCTCCCAGATGCTCTGCTGGTATGTGGGGAACTGCTGGGGAACGGGGCTGTGGAGCTGCTGTTGTGGGAGGAGCTCCTGGGAGGGGCTGTGTGTGTGGTAGCAGTGGGGGTCTTCTCATGGGCTCTACTGTTAGTGCTCTTCCTTGAGAACTTACTCAGTGCTGAGTGCCTTATAAACATTATCTTATTCAGTGATCTCCTAGTCTCCACAAGGGGGGTGTGATTGTATGTCTCCATTTCAGAGAGAAGAAACCAAGACTTAGCGAGGTTAAGTAATCACCAGAGGTCAGAGATCTAATTAGTGGTAGACTGAAATTATCTACCTTCAGGGTCTGTGCTTAACCACAATGCTGAACTGTCTCATGGGACTCCATGGATTGTCTTTTTTTAAAATCACATCTCCTATGATAGTGGGTAAAATGCACTGCTTCTAAATGCACAGCTGGGTGGATTTTTTTTTTTAAGATTTATTTATTTATGTATACAAGCACTGGGGTATAGGCCAGAGGTGTGGGGGGGGGTAAGAGAATTCACCAGAGACAGAGTGGGGAACAGAACAGGCAGATAGACTGAAATACACTGCTGAGGGGAGCAGTGGGCGAGTCAGGAGAGGTCTGCTGCGCCATGTGGGTAGCTCCCTGGCCGGGGATTGAACTTGTGCTGCAGTGGCTGCGGACAGCTTCATAGGTTGTGTCTTAACCCCTTGCACCACCAAGGAGGCCCCTGGGCGGGTTTTTCTGTGTGTTTAAACTCATTGCCAAGACACGGTTCAAGATTCTGCACTCTCTCAGCATTCCACATGGTTTCCCTCACATCTCTTCCCACATCAGATACTCCCCCAGAATAACTGTCTTCTTGCCTCTGTTACAATCAACTTGTTGGGCCCATGCTGGACTTTTGAATATGTTGGGTATCCTCTCATGCACTGGTTTGTATCTGACTTCTTTCACTCAGTGTAATGTCTGTTTTCCTTATTAATCTATGCCATGTAATTTGTTTTGTTTCACAACTTTTCTGAATTGTTCTAGTGTGTTTGTACACCACAACTTGTTTTCTGTTCTCCAAACTTTACTTTTTGAACTGAAACCCATATGACACATTCTCATGGTATCTCTGGGAGGATTGCAAAATGATGGATGGTTCTTTCTTAAGAGATTCCCAGGCTGGTTATAAATTTTAGCAGGGTGAGCAAGTGGCATCATCAGTATTCAATATTCAACTGTTTTTGACTTACAAAAAGGGAAATGTCAAGTGGTTTGGCTTCATATCTGATGAAGTCAGTTGTGTTAGACCATTTCATTTTCTCTAAAGGTTGTGGTGTACAGAAGGGATAGGTGAGAGATTTGTCTGACCAGCTGTGAATGCGCTCCTCTGAGAATCAGTAGGTAAAATTGTGGCAGCCTGCAAACTGGGGGGAAGGATGGACAAAATTTCTTGGTTTTTGTCTTTGGTTCCTTTTATTATGATTGAAGGGCTTTTGGAAAAATGTCTTTATCTTTCTGAATCTCATTTTGCTCAGCTCCAAAATGGAGAGAGGCTTGCAAGTAGGCTTCCTTCCAAGTGTAATTATCTGTTTTCAGGAGGGCATTTCCCTAACATTTGAAGAGTGAGAACACAAGAATACAGTCACATCCCCCAAATGTTCATCAGCGCTGCTGAATCCACAGAGGGATGATCCTTCATTGCGATATCTTTGCCCTCTTAGTTGCTCTGGCTTCTGAGTAAAAGGATGTAATGATAAGTGAAAAGAACCTGCCAGTTTAAATATACTTGAGCCTCACTCCTGTCATTTCTATCCACCCCCCCTCTCCATTTCCCGGACACATCCTTGCCCCCCAGATACTGGGAGATGACTCTGTTCCTTAAATGTAACAAGTTAGAAAGGATGTTAAATGGGGCTTGCCAGCTCGGATATAACTAATGACTTCATTGCTGGTGACTTTGGCAAGGAGAGAAACTATAAAAACGACAGCCCCTTTCTCAAGGCCTTTCAGAAAATCCTCTTTTCTTTAGAGCTGGCCATATTGCAGTTGTTAACCTCCTCTGCTCTGTGCTGTATCCTTAGGGGAATCCAGTTTGGAGACGGGGAATAGCCTGTAATTTTTCTTCTGAATTATCTGCTCAAGGGCTTTCTTTGACTCTCTGTGGGGCTTTTGTCTTTCATGTCTATGTTATTTTATTTTTTCAGAACAGCACTCACATGCTTCTTGTGGAAAAATGATGGTTGTTCAATTTGAAACAATTATATAAACAGATGCCTTAACTTTCTCAATCCACTTAAATATTTTTAGAGGCTGTAAGATGTTAAAAAGATTTTTAAGCCATCTATTTAGTCTTTTCAGCCTTAAATTATGTAATAATATTTGGACTATTTGTACCTAATCCCTTTGTTAAGCCCTGTCAAATTGCTTTGTGTCTCAAAACGTAAGACTTCATCCCTTTTTTTATTTAAATTGCTTTTTAAAGATTCATTTTCTTTATATAAGAACTGGGGTACAGGCCAGAGGCACGGGAGAATTCACCAGAGACAGAGCAGGCAGGGGGCAGAACAGGCAGACGGACCGAAATCACTGCTGAGGGGAGCAGCAGGCAAGACAGGAGAGGTCCGCTGCACCATGCGGGCATCATCCTGGCTGGCCGGGAATCGAACCCGTGCTGCAGAGGCTGCGGACAGCCTCACAGTGCCGCGCTTAACCCGCTGCACCACTGGGGAGGACCTTGTCCCATTTTTTAACGTCAAAAAATAGAACCATAGAGAAAAGGCAATTTGTGTGCCAGGTTTCAGTCGTCGTTTTTCTTTATAAAAATCTAGTGCACATTCTAGGAAAATAATGCATGTTTATTAATCCACACACTGTTCTAAGATCTTTTCATTTATTGATTCATTTAATCCTTATTGCAGCCCAATGAGATAACTGTTCTTATGGACCCATTTTTCAGATGATGAAACTGAGATGCATAGAAGTTAAGTAACTTGCTTAAAGGGCTGGACCTCCTTCAGTAGCTGAATTTTAACTCAAAGGTCAAAAACAGGAAGGGAGTTTAGTTGTTCTAAGTTCTTTCCATGTATTAACTCATTTTATCTTTTTAACAATACTATGAGATAGATCTATGAACTGACCCTAATTCATATATCTGTGTATTGATCTGAAAAAAATGCAAACAATGAAATGGAGACAAAAATAATCAGCTTCAGAAGATGAAAACCTTAAGGAAGATCAGAGGGATTTTTTTTGGCAATTTAAAAATTTTGGTATAATTTCAGAATTTAGAAAAGTTGGAGGAGAACATTCTGTTTGTTTTTGATTTTTTAAAAAAGATTTATTTCTTTATGCATTCAAGAGCTGGGGCACAGGCCAGAGATGTGGGGGGTGGAGGACGATGCACCAGAGACAGGGTGGGGAACAGAACAGGCAGCCTGACTGGAATACACTGCTGAGGGAGCAGCGGGCAAGACAGAGAGGTCTGCCTCACCATGTGGGTTTCTCTCTGGCCGGCTGGGGATCGAATTCGTGCTGCAGAGGCTGCGGATTTCATCAAAGTGCAGTGCTTAACCCCTTGCACCACCAGGGAGGCCCAGGACATTCTGTTTTTTTTTTTTTTTATTTTATTTTATAGAGGCATGTTTTATTTATTTATTTTGTTTGTTTGTTTGTTTTGTTTATACATGCACTGGGTACAGTCAGAAGCACGGGAGGGTGAGAGAATTCACCAGAGCCAGAGCAGGGAGCAGAGCAGGCAGAAGGACCGAAGTACACTGCTGAGGGGAGCAGCGGGTGGCAGGAGAGGTCTGCACACCATGTGGGATCCTCCGCCGGTGGCCGGGGAGCAGCCGGGGATCGAACCGGCGCCGCAGAGGCTGCGGGCAGCTTCGCAACCCAGCGCTCAACCGCTGCGCCACCGGGGAGGCCCGACATTCTGTTTTTTGAAGAATGTGTTGGGTTGTCAACACAGAGCCTTTTTGAGACTGTGGATCATCTGCTCCTGAGGCCTGTGGGCCACTGTTTTCGATAACTGTTACTTCCTTCAAACTAGGATCAGCAAATGAGGGAAGGAATTGGGTAATGAGCCTTCAAGTTCTGCCTTTGTCTTTCATGTCACCTGGGCATGTCATCTGGCACTGGGGCCTCAGTGGATTTGCCTGTAAAGTGGGGATAAACTCATAGGACTGTTGTGAGAATTGTAAGACATGGTGCCTGCCTTGCCATGACTCTTTCTGTGTGGACAATGTGGGCCATTATCACCACCATCTTTGTGAGGTCCTAGAGGCCCCTTGCCGACTGTTTCTTGAATCGGAGAATACCATTTAGTGAGTGCCTTCAAGTTCCGAGCTACAGGCTTTTCATGCCTTATGTATGTATTTTTTAAATTGAAGTAACATTGATTTACAACACAGTATGTGACTAAGGAGAGTAAGTTCACACTTGTCAGATGTTATGCTACCACACCACATCCACCACCAAAGCACCCTGGCCCATTGGGCCTCCTCTACCCTTCTACTGGCCTCAGTTCTGCAGTCAGATTCCAAGGATTGGTTTGGGTTTGCCTTTGTCTGTTCCTTTGCTTCAGTTCTTTATATTCCACATTTAAGTGAAATCATCCTGTATTTGCCTTTATCCGGATTTATTTCACTTTATATCATCCCCTCCAGTTCCATCCATGTTGTCACAAATGACAAACCTTGTCATCTTAACCCCTCACTACTCAAAATGTAGTCCCCGAATGAGCAGCCTCAGTGCCAGGTTTGTGAGAAATGCTAAATCTCTAGAACCAGCCCCGATCTATTCTGTCAATCTGTATTTTTATTAAGATCCCCAGATTAAAGTTTGAGGAATGTTGGTCTAATCCTTGTACTATTCTACACGTTGATGAAGGTTTATATTTCCCAGGCGAGGAAAGGGAAAGTCAGACATTCTAAACTACCTTGTCCTGGACACAGCCCTCCAGCATGCCTGCTTCCCAAATCCCTTCTGCTGAGAACACCCTTAGCCCATCTCAACCCCCAATGTTCTCTGGGTTCATGAAAGTCTTGGTGGGACCTTGCCAAAGGGCAGGAGGTGAAACTGGACTTGAACTCCTGGGATCACTTCTAGATTATGTGACTCTTACCTCATTCTGTCTCCTTCCCCTACCTTTTTTTTTTTTTCAGCTTAACTTCCATATTCCATGTTTTCCCTCCTAGAACTTTACTGCATCTGGATGTCAGCTGGTTTCTAACCTCCCCCCTTAGAGTCTAGTTAGCTCTTTCTCTGTCCAAGGCAAATCCTCCTCCCAACCTTCCTTCCTTCCTGTCACCTCCCATCTGTCCAAGCCAAGAGCCTCTTCCAAATCAGTTGCAGGAATGAATATTGTCCAGGGGCCTCTGGCAAGTTAGTATAGCAGCTGGTGCATTGAACCCCTCTGGGTCTCTCCAGCTAAGAGTTCTTGGGGGGTTCTTTATCACTGGATGCTGAGGTCTGAGGGTTGTCTATATTCTTTGCAATATTTTCTTTCTGTTAAACAAAAGAGAATCAATGGCCTCCCCAAATACTCCTGTCTTCCCTACACAACTAGTCCCCCAGACCACACCCTGCATTCAGGAATGAAGCTGCTTAAAGGGAATTAATGAAGGTGCTGATTCAAACTAGGGTAGAGCAGCGATCCTCAAGCAGCTCGCTTGGTTTCTGTTCTTTTAGGTTCCTTCTCTGATGCTGATGGGGTTTGCAATTGGAATCATAGACACTCTCCCCCCCTTTTCTCCTCTGCTCACCCTGGATTCCCTCCCACACTGTCTTCACTTGAGCTTTCTCAAGAATTGTCTCTTGGTCCACATTATCAATGTCAGGGCTATGATAGCAAGTCCAAAGTCAGAGCAATTAATTGTTAATAATAACAACTAGGTCCAAATAAAGCTATTCTGAAATATAGTTTTCCCTGTGCACTTCCAGAGTGTTTTTGTATACTTATTCCCATAGTTTTGCTTTTGCAAGTTCACCAAAAGTTCTTATTTTTCATTTATTAAACATCCTTGTTTGTTTTTCCACAATATAGGATTTCACCCCTCGGGTGACATCACCATAGTTTTCCCACCACCAAAGTGCCCACAGTCCTCCACTGCACTCTGCTCCCCACCTGTTCCCTACCTTCCTCCTCCCCATAACTAACATTTTAAGCATGATCACAAAACTATTTTTCTACAGAAAGGGTTTGAAAAAGATGCAAGTTTTGTAGTTGTTCCAGTTCCACTGAATTTGGTTATTTTGTCATAAACAGAACAGAAGGAAAAGTTAGATGCTTTGAGATGCTCACATAGAAAAGGTAACAAGAGGTGAGTACCCAGGTCAGGGACTGAGGACTCAACTGTGTTGAACAGGAGGATAACTCAGTGATATTGACTCCTACCCTAAAGGTCCGTCACTGAAAAAACTGAGACTAGAGGCTTGTCCAAGGTCAAGGGCTAGAACCAGCGTGCCTTAAGTCTGTTAAGGAACTAGGGTTCCTGACACTAAGGCTGCAGAGAACTTGCCCCATACACTGCCCCTTTGCACAAACTTGGGAGGACATTTGAAGTCTTTCATACCACCTTAAAAATCCATGCACATTCTGTGTTATATAACACGTTTGGCCCATGTTTCTTGAGCTTAGCATTCCCCACAACTCTGGGGGTATGATCCATAATCCTAAAGTTACCCCACATAACTTCAGAAGCCTTCCAAATCCACTGTTTTTGCTAATTCTTCATGATTAATTAGATTCATTTGGCTTTGTGAATACTCAGATTTGATGACCATGTGGAGCAGATCTGAATGTTGAATGTTGGCAACTCTGCACTCACTCTTGATGTCTGCCTCCTGCATCTGACAAGGAGAACCAGAGGTCCGGATGTGCTGTGTAGTTGCACACGGGAGGAGGGGGTGCTGTAATCTCTGGGGAGTGAGGGCATTTAGAAAATGCTGTACACAACCTCCATCCACCGCAGGGCCTTTGTACATGCTCTTCCTCTATACTGTGAGTCTTTCCCTGCTGCTTTGCCAAGGTGAGCATCCTACTCATGCTATTACCTTCCTCAGGTTCGCTGTATCCCTTTTCCTAGAAGTGAATCTCCTCTTCCTGTAGTCCTAAATTGTGTTATTAGACCTCTCTCTTTCTTGAAAACTGTCCCTTTCCATTTAAATGTTAAGCTCTTGGAAGGTGTAATTGCGTCACCTTTGTATCTCCATGTGGCATGTTAAGACTTCTATGTAGTAGCTGTTCAGTCAGTCTTGATTTAATTTTTTATGTCAGGAAACACATAATTTTAAGCTTGCTTTTAGTGTAGGAGCAACAAGAGAGGATGCATTTCACCTTTCAACTGAGGAAAGTTCCCATGTGTTTCTTCTGTGTTGTATTAACATAAACAAAAGTTCAACTCTTTATATTTCTTTCCCCACAGGGTTTTTCCTTTAAGTAAGCTCATTCTGAGAAACAGTGTTTGGGATTTGCCACAGTCCCAAACGAAGGAGTGAAGAGCTCTGTAAGGAGCATAGTTTTTTAAAGCAGCCTTTGCCTGTCTGTGTCTCTGAGGCCTAGCAGGACGTTTTCATAGCCAGCACCTTGCCGCTAGAGGGGGACCCAGAGCTTGCTTGTTCTTGGCCACAGAGGGAGGAGCAAAGAGTGGACTCTCAGGGGGCCCTGGCTTGCATGCTTGACAGAGTAGACACAGAGATGGGCATAGCTAAGCTTTGATGTTTTCCTGTTTGCAGACCATACTTCAAATCCTCAGAGAGATAATCTGGTAGCATTTCTAACTTCATCATGAAGTAGAAATCTTGCCAACTGTCAGGGCAGATTTACTGTGAAACCATTCAAGCCCGTGCATGTCTCAGTGGCTTAACACAGAAAAGGGCTGTTGGGCCACCTGTCACAAGTGTATGTGGGTCATTGGGTATGTGTGTAGGGGGAGGGGGATTTGCTGCATACAGCTGTTTCAGGGTCTCAGCTCCTTTTTTTCTGGATCCTCTGCATCCGGCTCAGATGTGAGCTAAGGGAGCAATGGAGTGGAGTGTGCGTGCTGGGAGGGCTGCATGCCTGGCGAGATCCTGTCATGCGGTCCCCCTCACTGCAGGGGAGGTGGGCAAGTTCTCTCCAGCGGTGGCCCTGGGGAGTAGAGGGGATGTGTTAATCATCTAACCGTCATGGACATGGACTTGGTTGGATTTATTATTGTTACTCATATTTTACTTTTCAGCTAATATAAAGTTGTTAGATTAACCATAATTGGAAAGGTTAGGAAGGAGATAAACAGAATGCAAAGCCTTTTCTGATGCCTTCTTGCTTTTATCTGTCAAAACCAGACCTATCTGAAGCACCTCCACTAGGGGGCGCTCCTTTATAATCTCCATCTCTGGATCCTAATGCTGTGTGTCTGAAATCCCTGCCTCGGAAGGGTCTGCCTGACCATGTTTGTAGCTCCCACCACACTGCATGCTGCATATAGAGGCCAGTCAGTAAAGATTTATGGAATGGACAGATTCTTGAACGTGCCTGTCCCTTCTCCTTAGTCCAACACATCATGACGTTGGCTGAGTTTTACGCGCACAGGGAGTCTAAAGACCCACAGCTCACTTCCCCTCACGGATGATAGTCCAACCTCCAGGTTAGAACTAGAGAACCAAAGAACTCTGTCATATAGAATGCCAAATCTCTCTCTCTCTCTCTCTCTCTCTCTCTCTCTCTTTCTCACACACACACACACACACACACACATTTTCTTTTAAAAATAATGTTAATGTTTTTCTCATCTAAGTTGGGGAAAAACATGAAAAACAAGACCTGAAATTTCATCCAGCTAAGGATAAACTTTGTATGTGTTTGGATTAGATGGATGGAACCAACAGATTTCACCTGTTTATCTGGGAGACGGAGCACAGGCAGGATGTGGAGCTCATGGCCCGCTGTGCTCTCTGCTATGGTAAGCTGAGCAGCCTTTCTGATTGGACTCGTGTCTTTAGAACAGGATGAACTAACTGGCAGCCACAGGCCAGATCTGTTACACAGATGTGCATTTATTTGGTATGTGCAGAGTTTAAAATCAAGAATTTTCTATTAAATCTGAATTTCCAGTTTTTCTTAGGAAGAAAGAATCATCTTGGGAATCACAAACATTACATTCCCTTGTCACTGCCATCATCAGAGCTGAGTTGTGCCTGCTCCCTTTGGATGCAGCCAGTGTCTGTTACTGCTCCAGAGGCCCTGGCCCATCCTGTTGTCTTACTGCTGGTCTGCCCTGCTCATTTACCTGTCCTGCGGGAGCCGTGTGGCTCCTTCCTTAGTGACACCTTAGCATGATGGGAAAATCTCTGAACAGATGGGCTGAGTCCTGGTAACTGCCATTGTGTTGCTGGCAATCACTCAGTGTTTCTGTGACTCCAGCCTCCATCACTGTATCCCACATGCCAGAGAGAACTTTGTGCAAAACCTGTGTTCCAGTACAAAGAGCTCGTATTTATGCCTGTGACAACCAGAGTCCTGAGTGAAGTCATAGGGGGATTTAATTGTTCCCCCTGCTTGACACACACAAAGACCTAGCATTGCCAGGAGAACTTGGCTCTGAGCACTTGGTAGTCACTTGCAGTTCTTGCCACTTCTAGATGATGTTACAGATGCTGAAGTGCTTCTCCATCCAACATCTCTTTGGACACATGATCTCCCTAGGCCTCAGTTTCCTCTCCTGTAGGAGCAGAAGTCTGGCTGGTGTTTGCTGAGCCTGAGCTGTTACTCAGTGCCAGTTGTGCCTCTCAGGAGTAAGTTGAGAGTAGAACAGAGGTTGTCCCCAGCACCATCTCTGCCTAAAGGGAGGTCACAGGCCAGTTCTGGACTTGATCCACAGATAGTGATTTAAGCACTTATATATTAACTCATTTTTAAGATTTAAACCTTGCGCGCAGCCTCATAAGATAGGTACCATTACTGTCATCATCATCTCCATCAGACAGATGAGGAAACTGAGGCCTGGGAAAGTCATTTGCCCACAGTCACACAGCCAGTAAGGCCTGTAGTCGGGATTGAGCCTGGCAGGTGTCTGTCAGCCTAGAGATTAGGAAGCCACATGGCCTGTTGGTTAAAAACATTAAATAAATATGGCTCATCTCGATTCTTTATTCTGAAAAATGGACACACTGATCCTGTGCCCTGACTTGCTGTGTCAGCAGCCCACAGGTGGTGCTCTGCAGCAGCTACCCTTATTGAGAGTCTGGAAATGTATTTTGTACGGAAAGGGATGTGATGTGTGGCTTAACCCTGCCTTTTCCTTGCTCTTCCTCCCCAGACAAGTGCCGACCAGCTCCAGAGTGTGGGCTGGCCGGGCCCAGGCCCCTGGAGTTGGATGTGGATTTGGTGTTCTTGGTGGATGCTTCCCACAGTGTTGGGACTGATGTGTACCACACCGCCTTGAGTCTGGCGGCCACTGTGCTGGAAGATCTGCAGGTGGCTGCACAGCCCAGAGAGTCCTTCCATGGGGCGCGCGTGGCCCTGGTGACACACACGACTCCAGGCTTCTTGCCAGGCACTGGGCGCCCTCCTGTGCGCGAGAACTTTCACCTGACCACCTACAACCACCGGACACAGATACAGAGGCACATCCTGGAGGCCGCAGGCCAAACCCTGCAGGGATCTCCCGCACTGGGCCATGCCCTGGAGTGGACCCTGGAGAAGGTGCTCCTGGCAGCCCCGCTGCCCAGGAGGATACAGGTCCTTTTCGTTATCGTGGCCAGTGAGACCAGTGTGTGGGACCGGGAGATGCTAAGGACCCTGTCCCTGGAGGCCAAGTGCAAAGGCATCACTCTGTTTGTGCTGGCTTTGGGCCCAGGCGTGGGGACCCATGAGCTGGCAGAGCTGGCCCACATGGCCAGTGCCCCCTCTGAGCAGCACTTCTTGCGCCTGGAGGGAACCTCGGATGCAGAGATGACCTATGCCCGGGGATTCATACGGGCCTTCATGAACCTCCTAAAAAGTGAGTGTGTGGGGTGGGGAGAGGAACTTAGAGAAATTAGCATTTGGCGAATAGGTGACTGAGTTGTGCTGCAGTTCCACACCTTGGGAACTCTCAGAGAGTACCCCGGTTTCCTGAAAACCCTGAGCTGTCATTGTCCTGACATTGTGCCAAGCCTAGTGCTGGTGTCTTGTCTGGAACCTCTCATCTGGTGGCAAGGAGATATCAGGTTAACACCTAGCCTCTTGAATATTATTTTTAATACACCAAAATGAGAGTTACAGTCTCCCATGTTAAGCCTGCGTTCAGATGTGGGCATGGAGGGACGTTGAAGGCACCAGTGCTGCATATAAGGCAGTTATACAGCAATCCAGAATCCAGAGATATATGACAGTGTTCCTCAAATTTTAATGTGCGTGCACTTCTCCTGGTCATCCTAGTAAAATGTGGATTCTGATTGAGTTGGAGCCTGACATTCTGCATTTTCAAAAAACTATGGGATGCTACTGCAGCTGCTAGTCAGTGAGTAACAAATATATCGGGCACTTACTTTCAGAGGTCTCCAAGGATCTGCTAGGAAGTGGGAGGGAGAAAGAAACGAAGTCCAGGATCCCCACATCAGGAAGGGTAAATGAAACCCACAGTGAGGAATCAGGGGCGCTGTGACATTATGTCCTGCCACCGACCCGGTGTCGTCACTGCCAGGCAGCTAGCTGAACCGAACTCATGGGCGGCCAGTCTCAAATCTGTGTCCCTAGTATGACAAGGGAGATTGGATCAGGCTTCATCCACCAGTGCATAGTCCAGAACTGCTGGGTGGGAGGGGTGGGTCCTCTTGTGACATGTGATGCTTCCTCGTCCTTGCTGCGAGAACTTAAAGTGTCTCAGTTTATAAGTGGGTGAGACATGCCCTTGGGGGAGCTTTGAGGGATGTCTTTCTTTGCATCACTGATACCCAGCACTGATGGACATCTTTGAAGCCCTGACATAGCATTTGTGCCTTTCCAATTTAAGAAATACAAAAATCAATGAATTGGTTCTAGCTTTAGCTTCTTCCCTAATGAGCTGTGTGATCCTGGAAGGGTCAGTGAATCAATCTAAACTGCAGATTCCTTAACTTTGCAGGAGATAAAGGAGAGAATCATAGGAGATGGTTGTTGATGGCTCGGTGACTCTGAGGGAATTAAATTTCATTACATTTTATTTTCCGTTTCATTATATTAGGTTGCATTTTGTGTTGATACCTGTTTTATGTTGATTTTATTTTAAATAATTTGTATAATAGGATGAATTTCATGTTCTTACTTTGTTTTATTTATTTTATGCTTCATTTGAATTTATTTTCCATCTCTGATTTTATGTCTTAATGGATTTTTTGTTTTTGTTTTACTTTTGTTAATTATGTTTGTAGTTTGTTTTTTTCATTTTTATGGGGTTTGACATTGTGCTTTATTTGATTCATATCTTTAATTTTATGTCTTAATGGATAGTACTTTATTTTTATGCTTTATTTTACTTCATACTTATTTTAAGCTTTGTATTATTTTAAAGTTAATACTCATGGTAAAAATAATGATTTTTTAAAATTTTATTTAGGTGAAACAAACCAGTACCCGCCCCCGGAGCTGACTGATGAATGTGGGGGCCCCAGCAGAGGAGACACTCGGCTGAGACCATTGTTGGCACTCAAGAGGTAGGCTGGAGGCAGAGCCGAGACTGTCCATAGTTCTGTCCCTGTAGGAGACTGTCTGTCTAAAGGTAGGCCAGTTCTTGAGCGCCGGCGATCCTCCTGTGCTTGATACCTCTGACACGGTTTGGTTTTTCTTTTCTTGTTTCTTAATGTTGAGTAATACAGGACCAGTATAAAAATATTCAAAAAGCGCATGCATATATAAAAGCAAACATGAAAAATTTCCATTCTACCACATCCCCCATCCTCTCACCCCACACCTCAGGGAGTTAAAATTAATAACCCTAAGTTTACTATTTTTTCTGTATTACTGATTATTATTATTTTTTTGATTGATGGTGTCTGTCAAGTTTAACCTCTGTAAGATGATTTTTTTTCCCTTTTTAAAAATTAAAGTAACAAGGCCTCCCCTGGTGTCTCCAGCAGTTGAGCGCAGCGCTGTGAAACTGTCTGCAGCCTCTGCAGCGGCTGGCCAGGGAGATACCCACATGGTGTGGCAGACCTTTCCTGACTCGCCCACTGCTCCCCTCAGCAGTGTATTTCAGTCAGCCTGCCTGTTCTGCTCCCTGCTCTGTCTCTGGTGAATCCTCTCACCTTCCCGCACATCTGGCCTATACCCCAGTTCTTGTATGCATTAATAAATAAATCTTAAAAAAATTAAAGTAACATTGATTGATAAAATTATATTATTTTTAGGTTCACAGCATTATATCATCACCAAAAGTCTGGATTCCTTCCACCACATGCTATTGATCCCCCCATCCCCACTTTTGTCACTGCCCCCCATTACCACTAATCTGTTCTCTGAAGCTCAGCATTTGTTTTTGTCTCATATAGTTTGTTTGCTAAGCATGTTCTGATGTTTGTCCAAACATCTGTACAAAGCAAAGAAAATAGCTAATGCAGTAACAGTCATCAGGAAATGCATCAAGCTCATTTTCTGAGGCTTACTGAGCCCAACACCATCAGCTGGGAATTGCTCCTCTCCGTGCTGGCGGTTTGGTAATTCAGTGCCTCACGGTCGTTTCTTCGCAGGTCTGCCCAGAGCCGGCTTGACATACCTGGCTCTGCTGATGATCTGAAAACTCTGGAAACAACAGACCTTGTTCCAGAGGAAAAGAGAGAATCCACAACAGACCTTGAAATTTTTGAAATGAACAGATATGATGCTGAAGAAAATGAATGTGGAATGTCCAAACAAAGAGACATTGGAAAAGAGAGAAATTCAAGCACTGCTGGTGGTAAAAACAAAAACTATTCCTTGCTCCTTAAGTTAAATTCTGTCTTTTTTAAATCGTTATCATAAAAAAAAAATTCCTTTGTACTGTGTTAGCATGCACCTTCCTTGCAAATGCACAAGTTCATATATGCAGCTAAAGCAGTTAGCTAAAAGAACATTAAAAGACCAACTTTCTTCCTTGCAAATCTAGTACTGGATGAAAGTTATTTCACGGAGTATTATGGAGGCCCCCCATGAGGTGTCTGCATTTTCTTGTGGAGATGCCGTAGTCTATGGCAGAGGTGGTGAACACACTCTCCAGCTTGAGGGAAAGTGTACAATTTGTAGCAGGCGCCTTCACATATGTTCTTACAAGTTCAAGGAACATTTTGAAACCATCTGGAATAATTATAGCATAGATTCAGGACTGCAGCATATACTAATGCAAAGTCATCTCTTACATGTGAGCAACAAATTAAGCCAAGTAGCAAATACATTAGAAAGACATATGGGGGAATTTGACTCTGTAACTTTTGAAAGGTAGGGATCAGGTAGCCGAGACTTTCCAGTGAGTGGTGTGGTTGGTCCTGCTTAGATTTAGAAATTAATTGGCCATGTTTTTTTTTTTTTTTTAAATTTTATTTTTATATTCCCCATACAATTGCGACCCCTTATTTTGAACCCAATCCCTTCTTTCCCCGCCCCCCACGCCCCATAGAGTGTCTCTGGTTCATAGTTGTTTGTTGATTTTGATTTTTTCTTTCTTATAGTTATTCTTTTTCTTGGTCCCTTATTTAAGTTTTCTAGATTCCTGCTATGAGTGAGACCATCCGGTATTTTTCTTTTTCTTTCTGGCTTATTTCGCTGAGCATGATCCCTTCCAGCTCCATCCATGTTGTTGCAAATTGCATGTGTTTATCTTTTTTGAATGCTGAGTAATAGTCCATGGAGTATATGTACCACATCTTCTTGATCCAGTCATCTATTTTTGGGCATTTGGGTTGTTTCCAAAGCTTAGCTATTGTAAACAGTGCTGCTATAAACATAGGGGTGCGGGTGCTCTTTGGAATTGATGTTTCTGTGTCCTTTGAGTAAACACCTAGGAGTGGAATTGCTGGTCATATGGAAGCTCTATGTTTAGTAGGTTAAGAAATCTCCACACAGCTCTCCATAGTGGTTGGACCAATTTGCACTCCCACCAACAGTGCAGAAGAGTTCATTTTTCTCCACAACCTCGCCAACATTTGTTGTTGCTAGTTTTTTTAATATGTGCCATTCTCACTGGTGTAAGATGGTATCTCATGGTAGTTTTGATTTGCATTTGCCTGATGACAAGTGAAGTTGAACATTTTTTCATATGCCTGTTGGCCATTTGCATTTCCTCTTAGCTCTTCTGCCCATTTTTTGACTGGATTATTTTCTTTGTTTTTGTTGAGTCTCATCAGCTCTTTGTAGATTTTTGTGATCAGTCCTTTATCATTAGTGTTGTGTGCAAATATGTTCTCCCAGTCGGTGGGGTTTCTCTTTGTTTTTGTTATTGTCTCTTTTGCTGTGCAGAAGCTCTTTAATTTGATGTAGACCCAGCTGTTGATCTTTGCCTTCACTATCACTGCTTTGGGAGATGTGTCTGTAAAGATGTCTTTGATGTGCATATCATGTAGTGTTTCACCTATATTTCCTTCTATGTATTTTATGGTTTCAGGTCTTATGTCTAGTTCTTTAATCCATTTTGAGTTGGTTTTTGTGCATGGTGTGAGGTAGTAGTCAAGCTTCATTCTTTTGCATGTAGCGACCCAGTTTTCCCAGCACCATTTATTGAACAAACTTTCTTTGCTCCAATGCATATTCTTTGCTCCCTTGTCAAAGATTAGTTGACCTAAATCTGTGGGTTTATTTCTGGATTTTCTATTAGGTTCCATTGGTCTGTGTGTCTGTTCTTGTTCCAATACCATGCAGTTTTGATGATTATGGCTTTGTAGTATAGTTTGAAGTCTGGGAGTGTGATGCCTCCATTCCCTTCTTTTTTTTTCAGGAGAGCTTTGGCTATTCGGAGTTTTTGGTGATTCCATATGAATTTCATCAATAATTGTTCTATTTCTTTGAAGAATGACATTGAAATTTTTATTGGAATAGCATTGAATCTGTATATTGCTTTTGGTAGGATGGCCATTTTAATAATGTTTATTCTTCCAATCCATTACCCATGGTTTTGAATGTGCCCGGATGGTTTCCCATGGTGGCCATGGGAACATTATTTAATCCCTCTGTGGCCCAGTTTTCTGAGCCATAAAGTGGGGATTACTTGACTACCTGCCACTTAGAGTTATTTTGAGAATAAAACTTGATAATTCATATGTTTGCCACATAGAAAGGAAACAGATTGGCCTTTAAGATACTGAGGCTATGTCCTACCTTTTAGATTCCAAAGTAAACAAATATTTCCAAGGCAAAGGAAATAGCCAAACGAGATAAATTTAGGAATAGGCACTCCATCATCTCTCTCTTTCTCCCCATCTTCTTTCTTTCACTCGTGGATTTCTGACTGCTGCTGCAGGATTCTTCCAAGACAGCAAAAATTAATACTCATGGTAAAAATGATGCCAAATGTAAAGTTGGGAAATAGCAACAAGTTAATAGTAACTGCTTACTGCTTAAGTGAAAACTTATTTGCTCCCCCCACCCCCGTCATGCCGTATCATATTGATGAAAGGAAAATTAAAACTAAAGCTTCCTGATTGCTGGGATGCAAAGAATACTTAGAGATAATTTGTGTGTTGGGGACCATACTTTCCCGTAGCGTTGGTGACCAACTGCTAGTCATGTAAGCCACTTAAATTTAAATAATTTGAATTTAAATAAAACTAAAACTTCAATAGTCACATTTCCAAAGCCAAGTAGCCACATAGCTACCATGTCAGTAGCCATGGTAATAGTGCAAATGTAGAATATTTCCCTTGCCGTGGAGTGTTCTGCTGGAAAGTGCTACTCCTGGAGTATAATCCTGGAGGAGCAGCCCCTGTGTGGTGCTGTCCCAGACCAAAGGCAAGAGCCACCAAGTGTCCCTAGGAAGAGCAAATGGCCTGTTTACAAGGGTCTTTGACTTGTCAGTTTGGAATCAGTTTGCTGAGCCCCAAATCTGTTTGTTGAATCTGTAGAGGACTGTCGAAAGTTCACCATTGGACTGTTTTCTTTTTGGCCTCTGACAGGGTTTTAGAGACGCATTTGTTGTGGTTCCTTCTCCTGGGCTCTCATTGCTGGATTTCCCTCATCACCAGAGTCTCACAACAGGCCAACTCAAACATGCCTGTTCAAGGCCTAGAACAATTCCCATGCCCCAGCTGATTTTCTCAGGCCATTAGAAGCAGGGCAGGATTGGGATGAGGCAAGAGATTGAGGTGCTTTGAAAAAAAAGGGGAAGAAAGCCCAATAAGCAACAAGTTCTTGGTATCAGAAGGCTTTATATATTAGTTAATTCATTTGCTTATACATTATCTGATTTACCTGCCATATGCTAAATACTGTGAAAAATAATAACCATAGCCATATTGTACCTCTCACATATGTAATATCTTACAAAAATTTTGTGAAGTAGGGTTTTTAAAAAAATATTGCTTTGCGACTCAGAGAGGTTGCTACTTACTCAGGGTCACACAACCAGCTGGTAGTGAAGCTAAAATTCATCCCCAGCTTTGTGACTCCAAACCATCTCTTCATTCTTATCATGCTCAGCAGGAAATTCACCTCTGTCTGCATATGCTTTGCTGCAGGTCCTTGTTCCATGGATCCGATGGAAGGCGAGTGCCAGGAATACATCCTGAAATGGTACTATAACAAGGGGCAGCAGGCTTGCCAGCAGTTCTGGTATGGCAGCTGTGGGGGCAATGCCAACCGGTTTGAAACCAAGGAAGACTGCGAGGCTCAGTGTGTCCCAGTGCCCCTCTAGTGACAGAGCGTCACAACTGCTGCCTCTGTTTTGATAGCTGGTGAAGCCTGAGACCACATTTCCTGAGCCAGCCACACAGCTCATAAGTGAAGAAGCCCACGCTATAGTCTCAGAGGTCAGACTCCTCAACTCCCTGAAAGATTTTTCTTCCCAGGGAGGACTTGGGTCAGATGATTTGTGACTTGAGAAGGACTAATTCTAGTGTGAAAGGTAACAGAAACTTTCCTGAAAGTTACTTAAATGAACTTGACTCTATAATACTACTTTAATTTTTTGGGGGGTGGGGGGTGGGGAGACTATGTAGCCAAAGGAAAATCTGTATCAGTAGTAAGTGAAACCTAATTTGGAAATAAATTGAAACTTGATTTTTTTAAATCAACAGATGACATGGAAGTTTCTACAAAGCGGGGTCTGGAGAAAGGGACATCTAATGCAAAATTTCATTCTTACTCCTTAGTGTGAAAATAAAGGTTTTCTAGATTCCACTTGGTGTGAGCCCAAGTGTGACACCTGTTGTCTGCAGTCAGCACTGTACTTTGTAGCACAGCAGTTGGTGGGGTGGGAACAAAAGTGACTTTGCCATGGCAAGATGGCAGCATTCAGGTGATGCTAAATAAATCACTATAGCTTCCTGGAAATCCCATGTTCCATCTGTCCATGCTCTTGCCCTTGGTGACTACTGTGGGTGATGCCTTTAATTCATTTATTTGAAAAAAATTCAGTGAGCACGTATTACCTACCAGACCCATAATCTGTGGCTCTCATTACCTCTGTGAAAATGTCTCTGAGTATCCCTTTTTAAGAAAGAATTCATCATTATTTCCTATGGGCTGCCTTGTACACGCTTCTGTGTTTGCCCTTTCCCATCATATTTATACCACTGACCCATTTGTCTCCTTAAACTGTGAGCCTTTTCACCTTGGAATTGTGTCCTGCACAGGGCCCTTTGGGTTCTGATTTTTAACTCTCTCTTTAAAGACTTTTAAGAGTGTTCCCTCAACAATGCTTGAAAATTTATTTCTTTCCGTATCTCTTGCTTCAGAAAGACTCCGCTTTGTAGATGTCATGCCTCCATTTCAGACACCAGGCCATCAGTGCCCCATCAGTCAAGTGGAAAAGAGGTCATATGTTTTTAAATTCTTCCTTGGGGCCTTCCTGGTGACGTAGGGGTAAGTCTCAGCACTATCACCATTGTGGCCTGAGTTCAATCCCTGGCTAGGGAGGTGACCCATGTGGCGCAGCAGACCTCTCTTGTCTCTCCCACTGCACCCCTCAGTGGTGTATTTCAGTTGATCTGCCTGTTCTGTTCCCCACTCTGTCTCTGGTAAATCCTCTCACCCCCCACACCTCTAGCCTACACCTCAGTTCTTCTATGCAAAAATAAATAAATCTTTAAAAGTATGCAAATGAATAAATTCTTTGGATATGTTAACTAATCATTGGTATTATGTACTGCTTCTGATGAAGCAATTAACACACAGAAAGGGCAAGTGACATCAAATATCATGCAGTGAATCAGCTGGTAGTATAAAATTGGAATTCCAGTGTGTTTTAAACTAACTTGGCAACTATTTGCTTCATTCCACAAAATTTGAGATTTTTAATCCTTGTGTTAATTCACTGACTTTGTACTTTAAACATACAGTATGTTTCATTTATCCTAGAAAACTGGAGGATTAAGGATTATTAGGCTTGGAAGATGGTTCCTAGACATCTATCAAAGCATGAAAATGAATCCAAGGGTATTTCCGGAGCTCTCTGAGTGGAGCTCATGCCTACCAGGCACATTCCTGGGGTTTCTCCTTCGTTGAATTCTTGTCATCCTGTGAGCACATGGTAGGTTATTCTTTCTTTTTTCAATAATCTCAAAGGTGTATTTTTAATACAATGGAGGATTTGCTGTTGAGTTTGTGATGCTGTGGAAATTACTAAGACTGGGGCACTTGAATTCAGTACCTGTTTCTCCGCCCCCCGCAACTTCCCTGGTGACCTTAACTCTATCTTCCTGGAGATGAGGGAAACATCTCTTGCCCTTCTGTTGTCTCTCTTAATTCTGCATGCAAATGAAATTGTTCTTTCTTTAGCTCATCTCTTAACTTAGGCAGCTGACATAAGCAAGCTTTCTTGTGGACCAAAGAACCATCTAGCTGAGCCCAACACAGATTGCTGCTTCACTGAATACTGGGCTAAACAGATGACTGTTGCTTAAAGCATTAAGTTTTGGGTAATTATTATTGAAAAAAGTTGTGGCTGGGCCAGCTCCTGTGTCCACAATCGGCTGCTAGTCTCTTGGTCAGGAGGCTGGCCTAGGGTCACTTCCTAATGATAAGAAGCATGAATATTTGTATATATCCAATAATATAACTTTAAAATGTATGAAACACCAATGCAGTTAGTTTAGAGAAAGTATTTAGAAGCAGAAGATTTAGAAAGGAAGAAGTAATGCAGCCTCTGTTTGCAGATGCCATGGATATGTATCTAGAAAGTAGAAGATTTCTACAGAAATGCTGTAGATAGTGTGCTCCCTCAGCTAGATCCTGCAGTGACCCTGCAGTTGTGTATCATCAGGGATAAGAAATACAAACCTAGGCCCTCCCCAGTGGCGCAGTGGTTGAGCGCTGGGTTGCGAAGCTGCCCGCAGCCTCTGCAGCGCCGGTTCGATCCCTGACCACAGCAAGGGTCCCACATGGCACGCAGACCTCTCCCACCACGGCTGCTGCTCCTCTCAGCAGTGTACTTTGTCTGTCTGCCTGTCCTGTTCTCTGCTCTGGCTATGGTGAATTCTCTCATCCTCCCATGCTTCTGACTGTGCCCATTGCTTGTATAAATAAATAAATAAATAAATAAATAAATAAATAAATAAATAAATAAATAAATAAATAAATAAATAAAATCTTAAAAAAAAAAAAAAAAGAAATACAAACCTAGTTTGTTGTAGGTCACTATGACTTGGGGTCTTACAGCAGCATTTCCAAGCCTGTCTCCAGTGGTACAGACAGAGATCAGTGGGCACTCTCAGATGTGTCTGTTGTGAGTGAAAATCAGAAAGTACTTTGGCATTTTATATTAACATTGAAAATGCAAATTCCTAGACCAGAAGTTCACTCCTAAGCACACACCCTAGAAACACACATGTGTAATCCCCGGGATATATATACATCACATGCAGTGTTCACAATCGCACTTTAAAAACAAACAAACAAACAAGGCTTGTACAACCCACATGCCCGATAGTAGTGAAGTGGGAGCACCTGCAGGGGCACATTAAACAAGGTGTACAACAATGGAAATGAATGAAATAAGCTGAAATAAGACACAAAGATGCTTAGAGAAGGATTCCATTGTTCTGAGCTTCACAACCAGGCAAAAATAAGTGAGATTTAACACACGTGTGGTAAAGCTAGGGAATAAGCAAAGCTGTGGTCACCACCAAAATCAGGATGCAGCATGGTGATCTCATGGTGCTGCGTCGCCCCTGTCCTCTGACATAAATGATTTATTTCCTTCAGGCTGTGAGTGCTGTGGCAGGTGATCCTTGGAAGCTAGCCTTTCATTGAAGATTGCCTCAGTTGAAGAAAAATTCATAGCTTTCCATAGCAGATGTGTCCAGTGTCTGGTCAATACTGAGTCATAAAGGCCTAGGCCCAAAACTTGGGAGAACATTTCCAGGGCCATCTCAGCTCCAGAGCTGCCTGGAGGGTTGTCTGAACCCTTTGGTGGGACTGCAGCTCAGCTCAGTTTCTCTCTCTGCCTAATTCATTTTCTTACTTTCCCTACAAATGGTAACCTCAAGGACTTTCCCTTACAAATTTCCTATATGCTGGTCTGTATTCAGAGATGGCTTCCTGAGGACCCCAGCCTGTAATCCTTTTATAGAAGGAGGTGCCTGGAGCTGCCTGCTGAAAATGCCCTGTTCTTCTATCAGAGTTGGAATTCATTTACTTCCTTCAAATGAATTCATTAAAGTGGACATTCATGTAATCCAGAAATTCCACAGAAACACCAAGCCAGGAAATGTGAGTTCATGTCATTTTCACATGACCCTTGATTTCTGAAAGACAGACCTATTTCAGTGTTGGTCCAAGTTAATCATTTTCTATGGAAGTGGCAGTGAATTCTTCATTATGAACTATGACTGGGCACATTTTAAAGGCATGCTTTTTTTTTTTTTTTAATTCCTCAGAACATAGCAGTTGCATCAGAATTCCTTCTGTTAAAAGGAACGATACTGGATCCTGGTCTTGATCATTGTTCTCAGGGGAAAGTCAGAATATTCAGCTGTATTTTAAAGAGTTCCTTAGAAATATGTTGGTTTTGACATTCAGAACTGGCTGGGATGTAGAAACTTGTACGGGTAGATGAGACAGTAATATCTATTCATCCAAAAATACTTTATAAGTTGTTATATGCTAAGAATTCTTATGTTAGCATATGATTAATCAGTAAAGAATCATCTTCATTCTCATCTGCTCATATGGTTATTTTTTTTTAAGATTTATTTATTTATACAAGAACTGGGGTACAGGTCAGAAGCACGGGAGGGTGAGAGAATTCACCAGAGCCAGAGCAGGGAGCAGAATAGGAAGACGGATCGAAGACACTGATGAGGGGAGCAGCGTCGAGGCAGGAGAGGTCTGCTGCACTATGTGGGGTTTCTCCTTGGCCGGTGGGGAATCAAACTAGCACTGCAGAGGCTGCGGACAGCTTCGCAGCACAGTGCTCAACTGCTGTGCCACCAGGGAGGCCCTGGTTACTATTTTTTTGGCATGTGGTGGTTGCAGCTGAAATCTACCCTTCTAGCATATTTACAGAGTACAATGTGGACCTCTGTCTCTAGACTTACTCATCTTACATCATTGCAATTTATGCCTTTTGACTAACATTTCCACATTTTTTCCCACTTCTTCCCTGGTAATGGGCATTTTTAGATTCCACATAGGAGATTATGCAGTATTTTTCTTTCTCTGTCTGCTTCACTACGGTAATGCCCAGTTTCATCCATTATGTTGCAAGTGACAGGATATCTGTCTTTCAAGGCTGAATAATATTCCATTGTACATATGCAATGCAACTTTCTTCATCCACTCATCTGTCAGCAGGCACTTAGGTTGTTGCCATGTCTTGGCGATTGTGAATATGTAGACATGGAAGCACGGATAATCTCCTCAGTTCCTTTGGGAATACACCCCTCAGTGGGACTGCTGGGTCATATGGTAGTCTTTTTTTTTAATGTTTTTGAGGGACCTCCATTCTATTTTCCATAATGGTTGTAAACCAGGAGGTACAAGGGCTCCTTTTCCCCTCTTCTCCATTATCCTTGCCACCATTTGTCATCTCTTCCCCTTTTGCATAATGGCCATTCTAACAGGTGTGAGGGGATATCTCATTGTGGTTTTCATAAACATTTCCTTGATTAGCAATATTGCATGTTGGCTCATTGTATGTTCTTCGTTGGCAGAAAGTCCATTCAGGTCCTTTGCGCATTTTTCAATCTGATTGTTTTTTGCTGTTGAGTTGTATGAGTTCCTTGTGTGTTTGTTGTTTTATAACACTGTATGTGATTCAGAGATGAGGGTCCCACTCTTGAGGTATATGTCACCATGCCACACTTGCCACCAAGGCACCAGAGTCCCCCAGCATGGTCCACTGGGGCGGTGCCACGCCCTGCTTTCCATTCCAGTCAGATTTCTTGGGTTTTTAAAATTGGTTTTGACCCTTTGTTTTGTTTCTCTATTCCACATATTTAATTGAAGTCATCTGGCATTTGTGTTTCTCCTTCTGACTTACTCACTTAGCGTTATCCCCCCATTTCTGTCCATGTTGTCACAAATGGCAAGTTAATCTTTTCTTTTTTTTAACAGCTAAGTAGTAGAATTAGTGTTATCCAGCCTTGGTGGAAGAGTCTTTGAGTTAGAAAATTTTTCACATTGATGACTTTATTTTTACCAGTGACACAGTCATCAACAGAATCATGCCAAATAAGCACTGTATTCAGAAGACCATTACAGAGGGCTCTGGTTGCTATGGTGACAGACTGGCCAGTCAGACCTGTTATTTTTCCTTCTAAAATCTTATTAAAATAGCCTTAAAAATCCAAATAAACAAAAAGATAAAACTAGCAAGCATCCTGGGAAATTAAGATAAGAGACATCAGAGCTGGCGTGATCAAGGAGCATCATCTTAGGTCATTCATTTCCTTGTCCATCTTCTGAAAATAAACAGTTCAGAGCCCCTCAAAGAATTGAGGGAGGAGGATCCATTCCTAAATCTGGGATACAGGAGTCACTGATTAAAAAACAGTGAACCTCATTTCAAAACCCAGAATCCTTTCTTTTTCTATTTGTTTAGAGATTAAAACTCCTAGCAACAACACGCAGGAGAAGGTGGGCAGAGGTTCACGTGTTTTAGGATTATTTGTCCTTAAAGAAACTCATCAAACAGTTGCAGAGCTAGGAAAAATTCTGAGAGCAGTGCTCACTTAAGGCTTAATGCTCCATATAATCTAGTTTCCTGAAACAGATGCTGTAAACATCTGACTTCGAATTAAAGATTGCCAACTGTCAGATCAAGAGAGCAGTCTCAGGCCAGTGGATTCGTGCTGAGTGAATGCTGTTAGACTTTGCTAATTGAATCCTGACTTTCCAAGCTTTCCTGACATGCACATCTAGGTCTGAGGTGAGGAGGCTGCCAGCACCTGAGATGACAGTGAAAGTCACTAAGGACTTTCGACTGTTGTCCAATTCAGGGTAACTCAGCCTCTATTGAGAGTAAGTAGATGGAAAAGTATTCTAGAAAGATAATGCCACACAGGGGCAAGGCATTGCTTTCCTAAAGATTCAAAAGAACAAACATCAGATTTTTTTCTTCTCACACAGAAAGATCAGAGCACCATTTTAGAGTACAGTGGCTGGCTTTCTTCCTAAAAGATGAAAAGGAAAGAAAGTCTCCACAACATGATGGTGGGTACCTGAAGGAAGAAGTTGTGGTGAAGGCAAAAATGCAGTGTGTTGGCTTCTGCAGTACACTTAAAGGTCTGAATATTATGACAGATGGAAATAATGCAAAGGAATCCAAAAATATGACAGTGTTATTATAGCGGGACAGTAGAAGGCAGAAAAACAAGTGTGGAACATTTCCAGAATACAAGGGAAAATAAAGAAACGCAAATGACCAGGAAGATGAAAGATGTGGGAAAGAGATAAGAGTTTTGGAGATTTTTTTTTCCTTCAGTAAACTTTAAGGACGTGGTAGTGGTTAACAATTTAGAAATGGAAAGGCTGTTTTTGTCCTTGTTAAAATTAACAAAGCAGACTCTGGGAATATCCTGGCAAAATTTTCAGTATCAAAGGAGGAAGAAAAAAATCATGAGTACCTAGGTTGGAAAGTAAAATTATATATAAATATGAAAACATTAGGCAGACTTCAGATTACTACCCCCCAACATTTGATACCCAAAGACAATGGAGTGATATCTTGACAGTGTATCAAGGGCAAAAGAAAATGACCCCCAAATTCTACACTGTCAAATTATACCAGTGTTCAAAAGTCAGAGACAGCTGAGATATGTAAGAACTCAGAAAAGAAGAAAGATTTAAAATCCAGGACTAACAACCTACATTAAGAATCAGGAAAAGAAGAGTAAACAATGTAAATAAAAGGAAGGAAATTACAAAGAGAAGAGAATAAATAATGTTAAAGACTAGAGAGAGAATTAAAAAGGATAAAAGCTGGTTCTCTAGAGACCAAAATTGACAAACTTCTAGCTAGACTGATGGAGGAAAGAGGAAGAGAGCACAAGTCACCAGTATCAGGAATAAAGGAAGGACAATCAACTACAGATCCTAAAAAAATTAAACCACACTAAATTTGCTGTTTTATATGGGTGTGCAGCCCCAAACAATTACAGTGACAGATCAAAGATCACTGATCTCATATCACCTTAACAGCTAAAAATGAAAAAGTTTGACATGTTGCAAGAATAACCAAAATGACACAGAGACTCTTGAGTAACAGGAAAAATGGCAC